CAATAGAAAAATTATCAGGGCGTGGTGGTGTGCATCTATAGTCCCGGCTACTTGGGAGGCTGAGGCAGGAGGATTGCTTGAGCCCAGGAGTTTGTGATTGTAGTGGCGTGTGATGACACCACTGCACTCTAGCCTGGGCAACAGAGTGCAACTCTGTCTTAAACCTCCCCCCACCAAACCTCTTTGTCTTTCTGTCTTGCAGTGAGAGTAGATGTAGATATCAGTGATGTGGGTTTTTGTTTTGTTTTTTACTTTTTGTTTTTTTGCTAGTTTAGCTAAATCTTAGATGTGCTTAAACTGCCCTATAAAGAGGGCGAGAGAAAAATAAAGCTATCAAGAGACAGCATGGGGGGAAAGTAAAGAGAAGAGGGGAAACTTAGGAGAAGCGACAGGTCTGGGGAGGTTTTTCGAGTGAAATGCCAATTGGTATAAACTCCCTTACCTATGTCCCTTACAAGGTCCATAAATTCTTTGGTGTTTTTGAGTGGAACTTTTGGTGGGAAGCTCAAAGAAATGGAGGAGGAGACAGTAGTAATATGGGTTACATTTTGGGTGCTGCCTGAGATCTTCAAACTAATGTGTATATGTCCTAGCTGTATTTAGGGTTAAATCATCACCTAGAATAGTGGCTCTCAAATTCAAACAAAAGTGATTGAGGATCCTAAAGTGCTTTTATTTGTGTGGCTCATGACTATCTAACATTTACCATATTAGAAATTAAAACTAAGAATAGTTTCTATCACAAGAAAATCTAAGCCCGCAGAGTGATGACATCATTACACATCGGTAGCCTCTGGAAAACTCTCTACATTTGTGAGTGAAAGAGGGCGAAAAAAGCAAATAACAAGTTAGTATTATTATTAAAATAGTGTTAACTTCATGTCCCCCCTGGAACAGTCTTGGGGAGTCCCAGGAGTCCCAAACCACAGGTTGAGAACCACTGCCCTAGAAAGTGAATACTTTGCGAAAGGTAGGGTATTGACTTCCACTTCTGCTCTGTTTCCGCTGTTCCCGCCTGGTGTCCTGTTTGCACAGTGCACCTCTCCTGATCCTCTTAACTTTTCTCTCCTATTGTTCGTGGTCTTTTTGTTCTTTTTTTCTGGGAGATTTCTATGTCTTTGCCTTCCAAACTAATTCTTTGAATGTTTCTTTAATTTCTGATTTTTTTTTTTTTTTGAGACAGAGTTTCACTTTGAAACTAGAGTGAGTGCCGTGGCGTCAGCCTCGCTCACAGCAACCTCAAACTCCTGGGCTGAAGCGATCCTTCTGCCTCAGCCTCCTGAGTAGCTGGGACTACAGGCATGTGCCACCATGCCAGGCTAATTTTATATATATATATTAGTTGGCCAATTAATTTCTTTCTATTTATAGTAGAGACAGGTCTCTCTCTTGCTCAGGCTGGTTTCGAACTCCTGACCTTGAGCAATCTGCCCGCTTCGGCCTCCCAGAGTGCTAGGATTACAGGTGTGAGGCACCGCGCCCGGCCTGATTTTTTTTAATAAATAGCATCCTGTTTTTGTTTTTGGATGTAACATTTCCTTATATCTTTTTGAGGATGTTAATTATTATTTTCTTCTCTTCCCTATATGATCTCTATTTCTTCCAAGTTCTTTTTTAATGTTTGTTGTCCTCTTTGTCTTTTGCATGAGTTTTCCTCAAATATTTGATGGTAGGTAGTTGTTCACCTGTATTCAAGAGTGAGGCACTGAAAACTGAAGTTGTGTGTCTAGGTGGAGCCTGTTGACTGTGGGCCTTGCTGTAGAGTGCTCAGAGTCATTAGAATGACCTTAACACCATCTGACAAATCCATGATATGCAGAATTCAGTTGGATGTCATATTAATGTCTATAGGGGTGTTGGTCATACCAGAAAGAAGGCTATGGAAACATTTTGGGATTCTAATAGGTCCAAAAAGTTTTCAACAGCCTTACATAAGAATCCTAAGGATCCAATGGAATGGCCATAATTATTTTTAGAGGTAGATAGGAAACATTATATACCTAAAGAGAACTAAAAACATGTAAAACCAATGACATGATAAAAGAAGTTAGCTACAATCTTCTTTGCCTAGCAGTCCAAGTTCTGGCAGCTGAGCAGTGGGAGAGGGCTGGACTTCCAAGGCTTGGTGTGCAGGCCTTCCCCTGATCCCACCCTCCGTCGTGCCTGTTGTCCACCGTTCCTCGGCCTCACCAGTCCACTTTTAAAGACCTCCTTTTCTGCCAGGGTCATGAGGTGGGACTGTCAGCTGGCCATGTGGACTAGAGGAGGAAATGGGGGCATGCCTAGTTCCCCTAATTCTGTGGTAGGAATCACTTTGCTGTCTGAGGCTTTCTTTCCTAAAGATACTTCCAGAAACTTAAAAAATTAATTACCAGTTAGTGTATTCCCAAATTTTGTTGACAACTCGTCTACTGTATCTCCTTTCTTGTCCTTTGCTCTTGTTGGCTTATGCCTTTTTTCCTTTCCTTTCATTTTAGTAAGGTTTTGGGGGAGACAGGAGGTAATGCGGGTGTTCAATCTGCCATGTAGGACCAGTAGTCTAGTCTCAGTTTAGCTTCCCAGAGACAATTATTCTTCTCTTTAGCACCCAATTTTTGTTGCATCATATAATAATTAAATTATGCAATTACAATGACTAGTACATCTGGCATAAATAAGTTTAAGGACAAATGCATTGACTCTTGGTAAATACGCAACTCAGTGGGAACTATGTGGGCATAAGTTAATTTACAGAGGGAATGAAAATTGTGGTAAATTGGGCAAGTTGGATTAAATGAAGATTAGCTAATCTTTTACTTTAAATAAATGAATATAAGACATTCAGTAATTTTTGAAAGTCTAAATGACTTGGCTTCTTGGACAACCAGTTTAAGAATCTAATCTAATCTTTAAACATGCCTTGAGCAAGCAAATGCCTTTCTAGGTTCAGACTGTTTTGTGAACTTTGACGTGGATTGTATTGACGTGTTCAGTGTGCCCTGGATTCTGGACCCATGTCTGTCCTAACTCCTAGTAATCCCCGCCTCTGCCTTGTACTCTTAGTTGGACTTTGATCTGCTTTAACCATCAAGACCTTGATTTGACCTTATGAGTTGATACCTTACATTCCCTTGAGGCTTCCTTTCATAGGCACTTGGGAATCCTTCAGGGCAAACCAGCTGGCCCTCCTATTGCCTTCCTCCTCTGCACCAAGTTAGTTTTAGCTTCTCTGCTCTAAGCCAGTTACCCTCTCTTTGCTTTTCATCTTCTGAAATTCTGATATTTTCCATCTGTCACCTCCCATATTTGTCTCCATATTCGAAGGGTTTATAGATGTTTTAAAAATATTATTGGCTGGGTGTGGTGGTTCATGCCTGTATTCCCACCTCTTTGGGAGGCCAAGGTGGGAGAAGCACTTGAGGCCAAGAGTTCGAGACCAGCCTGGGCAACATAGTGAGACCGCCCCCCCCGCCCCCCCCCCCCCCCCCCCCCCCCCCCCGTCTCTAAAAAAAATTTAAAAATTAGCAGGATATGGTGGTATGTGCCTGTAGTCCCAGCTACTTGAGGCCTGAGGCAGGAGGATCACTTAAGTCCAGGAGTTCCAGGTTGCAGTGAATTGTGATCACACCATTGCACTCCAGCCTAGGTGACAGAATGTGACCCTGTCTCTTAAAAAAAAAAAATTACTATCCTTTTACTATCAGTTTAATGAGAGTTCTGAGGAGTACAGAATTACTGCTTGTCTTCAGTAATTTATTTTTGGTCTTCTCTCTACTATGGTAGCTTTCTACTTCCTAAACCTCGATCTCCTGGTTCTTCTGAAAATAGGAGCCTTAATTTTGAGCTTTCTGAACAACTTGAAAAAGATAGCTTTTTCCTAGGACTGCCTACCAGAACCCTATTTGTTTTGTGGTTAATATGCAGTTAGAAATAAGTCAATGTGAATCAGCTTTTGCAAATATCAATTAAAACTTAGGGAACTTTTTGGGATAAAGGTTAAGCATGATTAGAAATTTCCTCTTGATTGGAAAGTAAGACTCATAGGGTCAGATGAGCTTCTCTCCTTTGATTAGGAAGAAGCGGGTGTTTAGGGACTGGGAGTTACAACTTTTCCTCATATAAAATAGTGTAGTATTTGCACATAACCTACACACATTCTCCTTTAGAGATGATACTTTAAATCATCTCTAGATCACTTACAATACTTAATACAATGCCTACACATCACTTCTTTCAAATGGATTCAACATAGTCCTAGGTGCACAGCAAATTCAAGTTTTGCTTTTTGGAATTTTGTAGAATTTTTTTCCCCAAATATTTTTTACCTACAGTTGTTTAAATCCATGGATTCAGAACTCATAGATACAAAGGGCTGATTGTATATAACTTTTTCACATATTTTTTTTTCCTGTAGAAGTTTAATCAGTTCCTTGAGGGTAGAGACTATTTTTGACACATCTTCGCATCTCTGAGTGCCAGAATAGGGGCTTACCAAGAGTCAGGTGCTGTACATGAGTTCATTTAATCTTTATATCAACCAACAAATGAGGAACTATTATTACTCTAATTTTGTAGACAGGAAACTGAGGCACAAACTACACAGTTATAGTAAAAGGTAGTAATTTATTTTACAGAGGGAATGAAAATTGTGAATAAGGCAGACAGGTTAGTTCCAAGGATAGTTCCAAATGGAAGTGACTCCACTTGGCTGATTAACCAGGTTAGCTAGATCCTACCCAAGTACACTGCAGCAGTTGCCTTCAGTGAACATGCAGGCGCTTTCTAGAGAGACAGATCTGGGACTTCATGGAGCTTGCAGAATTGGCTGTATGACTGCTGCTAATAAATGACGATTTTGGCCTGAGACTTATCTTTCACTGTAACAGATCACCTGGAGCAAGGCTGTGGCTAACTCACCGTATCTCTTACTATTGGAGGCTGCTGATGTCTGCCTTACAGATGTTAAAAAGTATGAATGATCAAATTGACTTAAGTTAATTTGTAACCCCCTTCTTCCTTAGTTATCTTCAGCTGGAAGAAATCTAGTCCAAGAGAGTCAAATAATGTCTTCTGAAAATTGATCACAGGCCTCAGAGACTACTGGAGTTGTCATCCTTGATGTGAAGCTCTTTCTGCAGTTGTGTGAGAATTTGGAATATGGGGTAAGGCTAACAGGTTAAAATTTCAAAAAACCAGCAGTTAAAAATTTAATGTTGTTCCCAAGCATGATAGACCTCTTGAAGGGTTGATTGATTTTATTTTTTAATCTTTATTTATTATTATTTATTTATTTTTATTTGTTGACAGGATCTTGCCCTGTTGCCCAGGCTGGAGTGCAGTGGCATGATCACAGGTCACTGCAGCTTTGAACTCTTCGGCTCAAATGATCCTCCTGCCTCAAGCTCCCAAGTAGCTGAGATGACAGGTGTGTACTACAACACCCAGCTAATTTTTAAAAAAATTTTTTGTAGAGCCAGGGCCTTGCTATTTTGCTCAGACTGGTCTCAAACTCCTGGGCTAAAGTGATCCTCCCATCTAGGCCTCCCAAAATGCTGGGATTACAGGTGTGAGCCTGGGCACTTTAAATTCCAGTGGGAAGAGAGTTATGATCAAAATCAGTTGAGGTTAAAATGACTGTAGCTGTCAGGGTGGCTCCTCCTTCTTCCTTTTGGTTCACTGTTGATGAAATCCTGCCTCAGCAACCCTGTCTCCTCTGCATCCACTGTATGTGCCCCTATTGGGTGTTCCCCTGCCTTAAGTGTCTCCAAGTTCGAAAGACATTGGAGATTTTGTGAGAGGAGACCAGGCCAGGAGGGGAAGAGTTGCAAAAGAAAAAAAAGAAAGGAAAAAAAAAAAGACATTGGATATTTTGGCCTTGTTGGTTGTTTCATATCACAGGGAATCTGATAGTTGTTTTTGAATTTGCAGGACTATTTAGATTTTGTGGTGAGCAGCACAGAACTGATACTTTTAAAATGACTTAAAAAATAAAAAATTACATATGAATATAAATAATGAAGAATACCTGAGCACACTGAGTCTTTATGATCCAATACAATTGATACAACTATAGTATAGATCATACTCTCTAGGCTTTCACACAAGCTTTTAAGTTTTAATTTTATAATTATTTGAAAAGTGATATGCATAGTTGAAGTAAAATTTGGAATTTCTCTTCCTCCTAGTCCATCTAGAGTAATGCTAATAGAACTTTATAGACAGTTCCGCTCTGTGCTGTCCAATATAGTAGCTGCTAGTCACATGTGACTGTTGAGCATTTGAAAAATGACTCACACTGACGAAGTTTTTAAAATTTTATTTAAATTTAAATAGCCACCTGTGACTAATGGCTACCGTATGAGTCAGCACAGATCTAAAGTATGGGGATGACCCTGTATCCGGATAGTCCATGTTGCAGCCACAAAGAACTGTAAAATCTTGGTGGTTTATAAGAAAGGCTCATTTCTTGCTTGTGTTATGTGCTCATTTTGAATTGGCTGAGGACCCCAAAGCACAGAGCAGCCACCCTCTCACATGCTGCCAGTCAAAACCGAGAGTTGTGTCAGCACTTAAATACTCTGGTCCAGAGGGGGCACACATCACCTCTGCTCACAGCTCACTGACCAGGACTGGTCACCCAGCCCCACCAAACCAGGAAGCCAGGAGAGAAACCCTAACTGTATGCCAGGGGGCAGAGAGTCTCAGTAATGACTGTTGCAAACATTGCCTGCCCCTTTCAAAATGCAAAGAAGGGGTCCCAGGGGATAAAAAAAGCAGTACTGTGTGTGTTTTCCTAAAAAGTGGAGAACTGAGTTTCTTCAGAATTCAATTATCCATTACCTCCTTGATACTCATTAGCATAGATTTATCAAAAGCAGGTAAGATGTGAAGCAAAAAGCAAATTTCAAACATTTTGATAAAAAGAAAAAGACAGTCTTTATATAAACATAGAGCTGACAGCAGTCAGCATGTCCTGTTACTTACACATAAGAAATATCTCTTAATAAGATCTGCAATGTAAAGCATAATCAATGGATTGTTTTTTATATGTTTGCTATGAAAATGAATGGAAGAAAGTATATTTGTTATTTTTTCTGGTGCAGAATTTATATCCTACATTTTTTTACTAGCAAGGAATAAAAATAGTCTCAAAAATGTCATGTAGATTTTAGCATTATGAGGACCTGATAGTACAGAAGACATCCTTCTATAATAGAATGTTATGGTACCAAACTGATGCCTGAGAAAATTTTTGAACTAAATGTGTAAATTAAGCTACCTATATAAATAAGAATCACCTAAAAGTCATTCTGTTTCTTAGTAAAATACAACCATATAAGCCAATTCTTCACATTTATGGAGCACCCTGTTTGTTTTTCATGTGTTTCTAAGATATATCCATGTACTCTACAACTAGTGGCATAGAAAGAAAGAGAATTTTGCAAAGATTGAACAAACAACATGCACTGTGGTATCCTTTATTTAAAAATTGTGAGCTAACTACAGTTGTAGTGTTCTCATTTACCATTCTGATGGTATAATAAACTGAGAGAACATTAGCACAATTTCAAGAAGGCATTAGCCTGTAAACACACATATATACCACACACGCACACACACAACATACACACACACAAGGATTATAGTCTAAACACAAAAGTGTTGGGAAAAAAGCTTTGACTATTCTAAATCAAATAAAAACCCTTTATTATAATAAACTGTGGCAATACTGTGGCTATTATGAAAAATATTGTAACTGTTTAAAAAGCAAAAAGGAAAATACTGGCAATTTGAAACTAGCAGCAAAAAGCAGATAAAGTTAACATAAGAATAAGATAAAAATTCTAATGTTGATACTGTGTAGAATTGCACTGAAGTAATTTAAAATTGGTTCTTAAGGAACTGTTAAAAAATCCATTGAAATATTAAATTGCTTCACTTTACAAACAGTGGAAAAGAAAAAAAGTATTTGGAATGTTACACACACACACACAGGAATATCAGGTATATCAATTATGGTCTTTGTTTATGACCTTCAAAAAGTTTTCTAAAGAAAAAATTTAAGTGCCAATGTAGTGAAAGAAAGTTAAAAATCCCTATAGATGCAAGTCTGAGTGCATTTATCAGGTCTAAGAATATATTTCAAGGTTGGGGGCAAGGCTTGATTGATGCACATTCAAGAAGAAAAATATCGTGGAACCCATAAGGTAGGTCAAGTTCTTTGGAGAGTGTTGAGAATGAAGGTATATTAAACTCAGACTATCTTGAAGGAGATTCCAATGTATGTGGAGTTCTACAGCTTTTCAGTTGAAATCCATTTTATAGTGGCCAGTAAATAATTAAGACTAACTTTTCAGCAAACTGGTTTTTCCTACATTCAAACACAAAGATCTTTCCCACACATGCAGAGCTGATATTCTATAACAACACAAATATGAAACCTGGTTTAAGAAGAAAAGCAACATTAGCAAGGATTGTTTCCATGGGTTCTTATCCAAATATCTGAAGCTGCTAGACATTTGCAAAGAGGGGATAAGCTTAGATAGCCCACTGATTTTAGAAGAAAGGAGACTTTATTTTCCTAAGAAAGCCAGAGTCATTCATGAGCAGGGGACCTGTCTTCAGAACTTAAGAAGTAAAATGTCCTTAGTGCTTAAGGTCATAACACGTTCAGATCCAGAAAAACTGGCTGGTGAAATGGGGGAGATAAATGGAAAGTTTGAACATCTGCAGCGTACTTTGGAATAAAGTGTGCCTCATAAAATTAGAATGGCTCAACTGCTTTCAGAACGAAGTGCAGCAATACTGGAGAAGACCCAGTTTTCTGGAGTCCGGAGCTGGGCAAGAGAGGCTTTCCATCACTAGGGACTCTGGCTGAGCTGTGGCTGCAGGGCCAGAGCCCTTGTTTTGGCCTTAGTTTTCATTAGTGCATTCAGTAGGGGAATATATGACTTTGCCCAGATAAATTTTTCTCTTGGTTACTTTCTCTCTAAAATCAATTGGTCAGGCAAGTTACTGGTGATTTCCCTTAAATGAAATCTAGCTGCACTAAGTATCTTAAAGTGCCAGCTAATTCAAATTAATGCCCATCAAGAACTGCTGTTGCTGAAGAATCAACCCCCAAATGACCTAACTAGATAATCTATCACACTAGGTGCTTTTGCTACCTTGAGTCGTTTGAGCTTAGAGAAATAGTCCTTTTAATATGACTTATAATGCTTCTCTCTGGCTTTGTTCACTCTTCCTCTTCTTCCTCTTCCCCTTCCCCTTCTCCTTCCTCCATGGTTTCCACAATGAGCTCTGCTGTACAGGTGGCTTCTCCAAGACTGTTGACAGCCTTGCAGGTGTACTTGGCATCGTCATCCCCACAAACATCGCTAATAATTAAAGAGCAGTTCCCATCCTCATCGTAGTCTATCTGGAAGTGGCGGGACTCCCTGATTGACTGGTCATCTTTGAACCAGACCACCTCAGGGTCTGGGTATCCTGCATCACAGGGAGAGAACACAAGTTGCAGAAGTTGTTATTCACAATTTCTTATCAACTTATGCAAGCAACTCCTAAGCTACCTCAGTCGATTAAAGGGGTCAAGGAACAAAATTATGATGTTGGCTTTCAGCATCTGTTTTGATATGTACATTAGAATATGGGCATGTACTGTAAACACTAATATCTGAAACCCGAAATAGAATACTTTAAAGTTGTCCCATTTTCCACCCATGTTAGACTTGTACCAGCCTGTAGTCCCACCTGCTCAGGAGGCTGAGACAGGAGGATTGTTGAAGCCCATGAGTTTGAGACTGCAGTGAGCTATGATCAATCATGCCACTGCTCTCTGGCCTGGGTGACAGAGTGACACCCCTGTCTCAAAAATAAATAAATAAATAATAAATAAATAAATTTAAATTAAAAATAAGAGTCAAAACAAATGTGAACAGGGGATTTTTTTGGGGTGATGGAAATGTTCTAAAATTGGACTGTGGTCGTGGTTGCATGACTCTATAAATTTACTAAAAATAATTGAACTATACAATTAAAATGGGTAAATTTTATGGTATATAAATTATAACTCAATAAAGCTGATAATAGCTATGTAAAACATAAGTTAGAGGAGCTGATAATATTGCTAAGAAAAAGAAAGCAATGTCTTAGTCTGATCAAAGCAGGTAATCTGCTTATAGATAACTGGAAATGGACTGCATTGATTAGCCTTACTTTATGCATCAGTTATGTTTCTGCAAAGTTCAGCATTAAAAAATAAAAAACACACATATGTAAATACATACATATTTTAAAAGTGTATGTGTACATATATACACATGTCACCAATATTGTACATATATACACATATACTTTTAAAGCTATACAGCATATTCTAACTGATTTGCTCTTAAATTTTGGAGAAGTATTTTTATAGGAAAAAAAATTATAGCCCCAACCAGAATAAAAATGATATAAAACAAATTAAGAATTCTAACATTGTTTTCAATGTAGAAATTCATTTTTATCAAAACAGCATCCATATACTTTATTTATTTATTTATTTTGAGACAAAGTCTCACTCTGTTGCCCGGGCTAGAGTGCCGTGGCATCAGCCTAACTCACAGCAACCTTAAACTCCTGGGCTCAAGCGATCCTCCTGCCTCAGCTTCCTGAGTAGCTGGGACTACAGGCATGCGCCACCATGCCTGGCTAGTTTTTTCTATATGTTTTTAGTTGGCCAATTAATTTCTTTCTATTTCTAATAGCGATGGGGGTCTCACTCTTGCTCAGGCTGGTTTCAAACTCCTAACCTTGAGCAATCCTCCTGCCTTGGCCTCCCAGAGTGCTAGGATTACAGGCGTGAGCCACCGCGCCCGGTCCATATACTTTAATTTCTCATCAGAGCTCCAGGGAAAAGTTACACAAATACCAAGGATATAATCCCAAAGAAAAAATTAAGTACAAAGATGATAAGCACTGTGTCATTAAAAAATTTTAAAAAGAAATAAAGGAGAGAACTTCAGAAGGCCCGAAGGCAATGGTGAGGGTTACAAGAGTGGCCCCAGAGCTTTCAGAAGAATTCCGAATCTGAGAACCTTCACATCATCAAAGGCTGGTACCTCCACTTTTTTTTTTTTAATTGAATGAAAAAAGAAAAAGATTATGGTAGGCAAAGTATTTACAAGGCACTTTGATAATATAAAAATGCAGAAGAAAAAATTACTCTTTCATTCCTAACTTTGGATTATTTCACTCAAAAGACATTGTAGAGAGTCACATAGCTGGACAATCCCATAAAGTGGGAGGCACAGTTTGTTCTGACTGCTGGACCGTGCTCTGTGGCCTTGGAAAAGTTGCTTAACAAACTTCTGTGCTTTATTTGGTCGGACCAAAATGGGAAGTAACCCTCCACCCTAATTGGCATGTGAAAGTCACAGACTTGAAGCAAAGTGGCCTTTTCTCATCTTGCCCTTTGTCTTTCTAGAATATTGCAATCTGTGGAAACTGAAATGCCTTGTGTCATCAATTTTCCTCATTTCTCAGGTGCCATGGCAAGATCCCTTGAGCTCTGACCACTCACAAGCCTGTGTCGGCATTATTCCTGGCAAGCAGAGCAGCAGCATGGGGATGGTGGCACTGAGTGCTTTGTCCCGGGTGCCTGGATCGCCCCTGGCTTCAGTCTGAGCCACACTGCATGCTCTCTCTCTGCACTTGCCAGTCCCATAGCATTTCCCTGAATTCCACGACATCCTTAAAAAACTTAAGGTTTCCCCTTTTCACACATGTCACCTCCCAGAGTCCGCCAAGCAGCTCGTGGGTTAGACATCATCTTGCAGGCAGGGGGCTTGAACTCTGGAGCACGAGATCACTCACCGCCCCAGGTCACACAGCCTGCGGGTGAGTGGCAGGGCCGACTCCACATGCTGTGCCCTTTGTGCCAGCCTTTCTTTGAGAGCCTTTTGTGGGCAGCACTTCACATGCTTCTTAGTGGCTTGCAAAGCTCATTTCATCATCAAGTGTGTTCCACAGTCCATGGATAAACCATTTTTACACTTGGGCCCAGCGGCTGGTGTAAGTAGGTGAAATACCAAATGTGCCCTGGGTGAGTCCCTGAAGGGTACTAGCTTCCAGGAGGTGGGAGTGGCCCTTTAAGGCCAGCACCCCCTCAGGCAGTTTCCCTCAGGCCCTGCTGTTCCTGGTTGCTCCAGGCTGCACAGAACCGACAGGGCCCTGCCATCCAGCTGCACCCTGTGTGTGGTGAAGAGAAGCACAGCTACGACTTACCTTCGATCTTGCAGTCAAATCTAGCAGCACTTCCCTCCACAACTTCTAAATCACGAATGGTCTTAGAGAAATAGGGTTTTACATGGGGCTTTTCCTCAGCGACAGCCTCAAGGAAAGCTTGGGACACATCTTCTAAAAGACAGGGAAGAAGACCAGGTCATTTCTTCATTCCTTGTTCTCTCCTCTAGTTTAAAAGAGCTAACTTAAAAAAAAAAGTTACTATCATTTAGCAAATAATGCAACTCCTTTCTCCTGGGGACGGGTTGGCCCGCTGCCAAATGGCTTTTGGCAGAAGACAGAACTGTGCCCAAACAGAGGAAATATTCAGCCTCCCCTCCTCCCTTATGCTGACACACTGAAAAGGGAAGTCTTCTTTAAAAAGGATTTCTGGCTGCATTTCATGCTGTTTCAGGATTTAGTTGAGGGTATTTGAGAAGGTCAGAACCTCACCAGCCTTCCTGGTCTCAGTCCCCCTTTGCCCTCCTCCTGCAGCAGGTCCTTCACCTGCTCCTTAGAGGGGAGGAGCCAGGTCCTACAGCATCTTGCACTTGCCATAGTTGAGTTCTCCACGCTCATCCTGCCTTCCCGTTGTGTGACTGCGGACCAGGATGTGGGACTGGTCCAGGGGAAAGCTGTAACTTGGAGGGACTCCTATGTCCTCTCCCTCCCCTTCTGGCTATTTCTGGGTCATCTGGGGAGTGGCAGGAGTAGATCAGGAGGGACCAGGCCCATGTGCTGCAGACTCTGTTCCCAGATGCAAGAAAGCTCCAGAGCTGCCAGCTACTGGCCTCGCTAATTACCCTGCCTTTGTGCACCAAAGGGATCCAGACTCAGCTTCTCACCTATTGGTACAAAAGCACCAGGCAGTGAAGGATGGACGAGGTCTCTGGCCAAATGAGGCACCTCAAGAAGAAAAGGGCCAAGCCTTGCATGTACCTCAAGCAGGAAGAGGCCGAGGCCTTCACTGAGCAGTGGATGGGGCAAAGAGAGTGGGGGAGTCACTAACCCTGGGTCTATGGGCGGGGCCCTGCCAGTCACGGTCCACCCAACTCAAATGACATGAGTTAGCAGTATGAACGATGCCATAAGAATATGGACTATATGAGTCTATTTTTGTTTAAAACAAAACCACAAATTCAGTAGAAACTAGAAGGCTATTTAAAAATGTTACACAACTATATGTGATTTTTATATTGTTTTTGCCTATCAACATGCAATATCGCTTTCGTAATAAGAAAAGAGGAAGCTTCTACTAAAGTCTTGGTTAATTCTTATACAAAATATAGGGAAAAGAATAGGTGAGGTCAAGACAGAAAAGTAAGTCACCGGGAACAAAGATTTAAAAAAAAAAAAAGAAAGAATAGCTGAGGTCGGCTAGTTCTATAAGATAAATACCAATTTTCCCTATGAAAATGGTTGAGCATAAGGTTAAATGAATAAAGAATAATTACTAGACTTAGTAATTGTTGTCAGGACAACTCAAAAATATTTCCAAACTTATACTTGTAGGGGGATATTAAAAGAATAAAACAAAACCATAACCTCCAAACACCCCTCTGTCCCCCAACCCTTTCTTTTTCACCGACTGTCGGAGAAAACCCTCCTTACCTTCAGATTCTAGCTTTTCTGCATTGAGCGGGCTGGTTGGTGACCCCGTTGAGGATTTCCTGCCACTGAGCCCTGAGATCATTGCCATAGAGGACAGTCTTCCAATGGCTCTCACAGCATTGCCCGTTTTCTGGAAAAGAGACACTGGGGTTGGACTCCAGTGGCGTCCCCAGTTCGAGCCCGCAGCTCGGGGGGCTCTGAGGAGAAGAGCCCAGCCGGGAGAGCGGCTGTTGCCCGGACGAGGGCCTCCGCGCACTGAGGTCCTGCCAGAGGAGTGAGCCCAACCTTGCTCTGCTCAGCACTATCAGCGTGTCAGAAGATGTTCGGAGAATGGAATGGGGCCTGGAACTGATGTGTGCGTTAATGTGACTAAACAAGGTCAACATGAGACAAAAACCCTTTCATACTGTGCTTCAACTCCCATAAAAGGGATAGTTTATATAAAGCAACTGCAGGCTGAGACAGCTCAGAGACTTATTGCTGACTGGGCCTAGTGGGGCTGTTTCTCGTAAAACAATGCTAGCGACAGGATTTTAATTGGTCAAAAGAATCGTTACTACAGATCACACAGGTCCCGATGCAAAAAAAAAAAGCTTTCTAGCTTTCTGTTGATCTTGGGTAAGTCACTTAACCTCTCTGGGCTTTAGTTTCCTTCTCTGTATAAAGAGGGACTTGGACAAGATGATCTCCAAAGTCCTATTTTGTTCTGTTTATGATTCAGATACTTAAGAGATTTTGAGAAACACTCCGGCTGGCCCCAGCACAAGTCTACAACTGTGCCATGAAATTCTGGAGGGGTGTTCTTCTATGGTGCAAGCTCAGGCACTAAAAAGAAGCACCCAAAGAAATAAAAAGCATTGGCATTTTGCTTTTCTGAGACTAAACTTGGGACAGGACAGAATTTCTCCTGAAAAGGAAAAGAACTTGAGACATGATTGCTTTGCATTGTGAAAATTCTACCAAGTGTAGGATTTAGGTCACAAAATCCCCAGTGATGTACAGAGATTGTATCTCTGTTTCTTATCTTTCAATAAAGTTTCTCACCCTTTTTCTAAGATCAATGAGAATGACTAACACAGGAAAGCTAAGGCACAACCAAGTCCTTCCACTCCTGCACCCAAAGCATCTTTTTCAGGCATTCAAATGCTGTGCATCCAGAGAGCAGATGTCACCTCGGACTGGCTACTTGTCCCCTTCTGAGAGAGGAAGGAAGCAGCCTCTTCATAGGCACATGGTTTGCATTCACTTGTTGGACCTCCAACTGTGCCAGCAAAGCCATTTTCTCTGAATTAACTTCACATGCTCAAGTATTTCAGTAAAGCCTCACAATTTTGGACTAGCTGGAAAACTATTAATAGTATGCTTCAGTATAAAGATTATTTTGAAAGTAAAGAACTTCAAGATGCTAAGGAATCGTACGAAAAATGGTGTATGTGTGCGCGCACGTGTATGTATGGCTTACGTGGAGATCTACTGCTGCAATGATGATCACTTTATGCCCCCTGCCCTTCTTCCTGCAGACTGTTCTCACACACTTTGGACAGATAATACACCTTGCTCTGTCCTCTGGACATCCGTTCTTGCACACGTCACTGTATGGTGTGGCTGTGCTTCTAGTTTTCTGCTGCCACGGTGAGGCTGGGTGACCAGAAAGAACTCAGGCAGACCCCCGTGGAGGTGATGAGGAAGATGGTGAGAGATGGCAACCGACCAACTGCACTGTGTGCAGAAACACCGTGCCCCTGTAGAGAATGCCCCTGCAGATTGATGCCAGGCAGCAACCTTTCATGCTCTTTTGGGAGAGGCTGTTACTGGTGCCATGGTTCGTTTGTTTATTGTGCTAACTGGAATTTGAAAAGACCCAGCTCTTCCCAAGGGAGGTTACCCTGCCCTCAGGAAAGGGTAAGAGGTGATGCCAGCTATGGCAGCCCTCCTTTCGGGAGTCAACGTCAGACCAGCCTACTTCCCAATCAGCCCAGCTTTAGACTCCGCCCTTCTCGGCACTCCATTCCCTTTATCCACTACTGACGGGTTTGCCCTGGGCTAGGAGTCTGTAAACCCAGAGGATGCATTCCCAACAGGGGCAGGTTAGATCTCTAACCACTGATTGCTGGGTGACCTTGTGCAAGTCAGTTCCCTTCAGTGTCCTTGGGCCAGAAGATTCTAATCTTGCTGCTCTAGTCTTCTACTTTAGAAAGACTGATTCATACACATGAACATGTAGCAGGGAACGCTCCCCTTAAGCCAAGGGCTCCCTAATTCCAGACACCTGCATGGTACTGATTAGGACTGTCTCCACCTGTGTGGTGCAGAGAGAGATGTCTTTTCTTGATTTTAATTTGTAGCAAAATGACTAATATGAAGTTATCAGAATGAAGCAAACAAAAGAGTTATAATATTTCAGAGGAAGTAGCAAATATATGAACAAATATTAGGCCTCATGTAGGGGGAAGTTTTCCAGCAGATAGAGATACTCAGTATGTATTTCTAAAATAGGGAGAAATGTAAAAGACGTGTGATAGGGGAAAAATCTAAAAACAATCTACATCAGAATCCAATCTTTGGAAACTGATTTGTGAAAAAAAAAATTGGTAAGGAAGTTCTTTGTCAGAAATATATCTGTATGTTCTAGTCTTCCAGTTTCATGCCTTTGAGCTGAAAATTGGTTGCTGCTTTACTGACCAAGACTTTTGGAAATTTTTGGAACATCAAAACAGCAAAGTTTCAATTCTCTAATTTCCATCCTTGTTTTGAGAAAGCCTTTTTCTTGTTTGAGGGCAGTTGCCAATGCTGGGTTCCTTGTCCCTGGTAGGCAGTATCTGTACCAGCCTCCTTAATTAGAGACTGTACCTCCCCCAAGCTTGCAGAGCTAGGACAGCCCCCCAGAATTAGGGTCTTTCAGTGCCTATACCAAAACAGTCCTGGGCAAACCAAAGCAAGCTGGTCACCCCACACCACCCAGTGCCCCCATATAGTCCAACAGCCCCAAGATGACTGTTTCCTCTGAGCAGTGGATACTATCCAAATGGGATGGCCAAGCTTACTCTGTACTGTGTTAAATCTAATGCTTTCTCCCCTTTAGCCCTTTGGTACATGCTGCTGATGGTTCCCAGAAAATAAAGACAGTTGCCCCCGGGCCTCTACTTCCTAGCTTTGCTTCTGGTTTGTTTGCATGCAGAAGCCCGGCTATCCTGCCCACTTACCTACCCCCATTGCTATGCCTCCCCAACATGCCTTTGTAAAATTCTTTTCATAGAAGTTTAAAATATATCTAAATATAAATATAAACCACAGTCACCTCTGGTTGCAATAACTTTCAGAATAACTTCATTCCAAGGTGAATAATATGACTAGTCATCTATACCTAGCCTAGACTTGCTTGCAGGGTTCTGTTCCTATGCCACTTCCGTCCTCCTAGGGCTTTCTATGAAAACCACGCCAGAACGAGAAGGTACCTTCTCTGGCGCAGCTGTAGAACATTCTGGGCCTGCCCTGGCCCTTTTCCTATCCCACGGCCTGCCCCGCCCCGCCACACAGAAGCTTGGCCGCTGTGAGAGGGCACCCCTGCTCCAGGGGGGGGCTAAGGTCCCGAGACTGGAGTTAAAATGTGGAAAACATTTTCCTAAGGAAGCAACAGAACACGAGATGGTCAGACACGGCTGAACCAGGGAAATGATGCTTCAGGAACATTACTTGTTGAATGGGATTTTGAGGACTACTTTTGCGTTCAATTTTGTGAAACCTGGCCGCTGATTCTGTGGACAAATCATTTCCAGATGCTGCCACCTATATTAAAATATGACATTAAGGTTCCTTCTCTGAATTCTACCCTTTTCTCTCTCCCCCTTTCAAAAGGCCTTATGGGCCGGCACGGTGGCTCACACCTATAATCCTAGCACTCTGGGAAGCCAACGCGGGCGGATTGCTCGAGGTCAGGAGTTCGGAACCAGCCTGAGCAAGAGCAAGACTCTGTCTCTACTATAAATAGAAAGAAATTAATTGGCCAACTAATATATATAGAAAAAATTAGCCAGGCATGGTGGCGCTTGCCTGTAGTCCCAGCTACTCGGGAGGCTGAGGCAGCAGGATCGCTTGAGCCCAGGAGTTTGAGGTTGCTGTGAGCTAGGCTGACGCCACGGCACTCACTCTAGCCTGGGCAACAAAGTGAGACTCTCTTTCAAAAAAAGAAAAAAAACAGGCCGGGCGCTGTGGCTCACGCCTGTAATCCTAGCACTCTCCAACGCGGGCGGATTGCTCGAGGTCAGGAGTTCGGAACCAGCCTGAGCAAGAGCAAGACTCTGTCTCTACTATAAATAGAAAGAAATTAATTGGCCAACTAATATATATAGAAAAAATTAGCCAGGCATGGTGGCGCTTGCCTGTAGTCCCAGCTACTCGGGAGGCTGAGGCAGCAGGATCGCTTGAGCCCAGGAGTTTGAGGTTGCTGTGAGCTAGGCTGACGCCACGGCACTCACTCTAGCCTGGGCAACAAAGTGAGACTCTCTTTCAAAAAAAGAAAAAAAACAAAAGACCTTATGGCTAATAACACTATAAACAATAAGAAAAATGTTTAACTGATTAAAATACCAGCAGATATTATGGTTTCCTGACTGACCTGCCTGAAGGATTGCATTTGCCTCCTCCCCACTTCCTTATCTCTTTCATCCCCTGGCACAGCGTCACCCTAGCAGTGGTCTTCCTGCAGTGCTCCGAGGTGATCCAGCTCTCTCCTCAGAGGACTGCCCCATCCCAACACCAGCTGCCCTGTCTTTCCAGAAGTATTTCTGTGAGATCTGCTGGCCATAGGATCATTCATAAAGGCAACCTTGGATTTTGTGGACCCCTTTTTGTTTTTGGTTTTTTAAATAGTTGCTACTCCGATCCTAACGGCACCAGAAGGCGAGCTGCACAGGTGTCCCGTACCCCCCCCCCCGCCTGAGGGTGGCCAGGAGACCACCCTAACCCTCACACAAGGGCGCCTAACCCAGAGCCAACTTCCACTGCAGAGGAGCCAGGCCGTGGTGTGCTTGGGATGGCAGTCCCCGAAACCCCACACCATGGTCCCTTGTTCACCTCTGTCCCCTCTCAACCTTTGTGTGAACTTGCACTTTTTGGGGAAACTCGGTTTAGTCACCCTGTGTGCCAAATGACCCATGTTCCAGTTGTCCCCGAAACAGCAAATTCTTTTTTCTCTGCACCTAGGCAAAGGCTCAATGCCCCTAGGTCTCCTGGGTCTCCAGCTAAGAGACTCTGCTCTGTCCAGCCCACCCAAGAGTGGGGTCCAGTTCCCACCCCTGCACCTTTCCTCCCCCTGTGCTGCCACTCACCCTTCTCTGTGTTCTTGCTCAGGTTCCATCTCTAACTTCACACCCCTGCCCCCCGGAGCATTTCCTCATAACCACAGTCACCTCTGGTTGCAATGCCCTGCTGTCCTGTCCACACGCACACTTACGGAGTGGGGAGCTGCTCTGATGACTTATCATCGTTGCTGTGTGTTGTGTCCTTCATGCCCACTTGCTTCGGTTCCTCGTTACACTACGTGTCCCGAGTACGGAAACCATGTCCTCTCTAGTAGCCCAGGAATCGTTTAATACTAATTGTGATGATAAAAATAATAAAATAGATGACGATAGTGATAAGCACTCTATGGTTCTGGATAATAATTTTATCCATCCTGTTATCGGAGGCGGTTTTGTGCTTTAGAACCAGGCTCTGGGTTTGAATCCCAACTTTTCCACCTATTAGCTGTGTGATCCTGGGTGACTTTCCTAACCTCTTCTCTGCCTTAGTCTGTCTGTAAAGTGGGGATAATAATAGTACCTGCCTCCTAGGATTAAAAGACTTAGTGCACAGAAAGTGCTTTGAATGGTCCCCAACACATGGCCAGCCTTAATACCCATTAGCGACTGGTATCATATTTGAACACTCACTATGTGGCAGGCATTGTACTAAAGGCCACATGAAGATTATCTCATATAATTATCACAACAATGCTGTGAAGTGGGTACCACTATGATCCCCACCTTACGAATGAGAAAACAAATCCACAGCAAGGATAAGCTACTTGCTAGGGACACAAAGCTATTAACATAAACCTCCCTAGAGGGTGGGGGCCATGTCTTTGTCTCCTTCATCATAAGGAAGTGCAAGACCATCACACTGCCTTTAAGGAGAGCACGTTCTCCAGGGTTGCCAATGAGACCTCAAGGTGACGTTGCTCATCCCTAGCCATGAAGACATGAACCGTCCGAGGCCTGACCTGAGTAAGCGCCAGGCTGCGCGAAGCCTCCCCTACCCATTCCGCTGGGATGACATTGAGCAGGATCGGAGAGAGAGCTGTAGTTAAGAACCCAGTTTCCCCTGAGAAAGGGACTCAGTGCCTGGGACTAAGCAGACCACTGCACCTTAATCAGTTGCTTAAATTAGTCCTAGACTATTTCAGAAACAAACCTACACTTTCTTGGAATGAGGCCAAGGCAAGCTAGGAATAAAGGTTGCTTGAATAAAGAAAACAGGAGGGACAACATCCCAGTCCAAAGTGACCCTCCCATTACCTGCCATTTCCTCCTGGCCATGTATTTCTTCATCCGGTCCTTGGAGAGCTTCTTGGCTTCCATGTTCTTGGTGTCTTTCATTAGCCATGGGTGCTGAAGGCACTGGGTGCAGTCCAGGCGGTTTCTGATGGAGGCAGAGATCAGAGGATTTCTGAGCAGGAGGAGACTTCAGAGGCCACTGGCCAGATCAGAAATGGGGGCTCACTTGTCCCCAGTCACACAGGACAGAGGCCAGGGCTCCCTGCTCCCAGTCCATCCCCCACGACCATGTCGCCGTGCTCTCCATCTTTTCTTGTCTCGGTCTGTTACACTGACTAGGCCCAGCACAGCTCACTGTCAAGAAGGCCTAACCACCAAGAAAGCAACTGGAGTCCTGTGACCTGCTCTTGGGGTCTAGGAAGAGTACATGCTGCAAGGCTGACATGTCTGGGGAGGGCTGGCACCATATTCCAGGGTAGGGGGTCATTCCATTGGGCACAGGAGGGCTGGGGCCCACGGAGGCCTAATCCTTCTGTGTCCCTGTCTGGACAAGTGGAACATGAAACACTAGGATAAAACCTCTGAGAATCACTGAACTTTCACATATTAGGGTGCGGTGGAGTATCAGGTTTTTCCTGTTATAACTCAAATAAGTATGTCCTACATATAGCCTGTGAATTACAACAACCTTACAACTGCGCTGAAACTTGTTTAATCCTCCGGAAAGCTCTGGGGATCTAGAAATATTTTAGGGCCATCACCTTAATTGCAACAGGACTAATAAAGCCCAAAGAACTGAATGGTAACATAGGTAGAAAAATGATGGGAACACAGTGTACAAAATGTAAGATTTTTAGATAAAGGGATTATGGATGATTTAAATTTTATCATATGCTTCAAATCTTCTACAATTTACAATGTAGTAATTTTATAATAGAAAAGGATTTTTTAAAAGTGTTGATGGATGGAGATTTCTGGTTGAAGAGATGCTGGGAATAAGAGTTTATGGGAATTTACACTCTTATTTGTCTTGATCTATTTGAATATGATCAATTCTTTGGTGAGTCCATTTTGTGAGCACAGAGGGGCCCAACACAGCCTGTTACTGAATTAACTCAAGGTCAGATGGAAAAATAAGGTGTATACACAATAGCTCATTTGCCAACTCTTCAGTGACTGAAGCTTGGTTGACAAAAGCCATCCTTGGACATGAGTCACTGGAGGGAGGGTTCCGTCTCCTGAAGCACCTTGGGCGTGGGGGATCCCTCCCATTGGAAGGGACTCTAGACTCCTCACAGCATTCTCATTCTCCTTGGGTCGTGCTCATTTCTGATACAGACCGTGATGGCAAAAGTCTAGAAGACCTCACCGTAAAGGAGTGTGAAATGTAGCCTCTGGGGGAGTTTGGCCCTGAGCTGGCTAAAAAGGACGAGTAACAGGAAAACCAGACCCAGCTGTCTAGGACACTCTCCAGCATTGCCTCTGTAGCATCTGCGTTCTGCTCTGATGAGCGTTTTCCCCAGAGGGGAGCCAGGTGCAATGTCACCTGGAGAGGGAAGAGCCTTCCTGCAGCCCTAGAGCCAGCCATCCCTCCCCTCTGCCAGCACACCAGCCATCTCAACCACCCTTCTCAGGAAAGGCTACAAGCGCTCCCTGGGATTGCCAAACCTCTCCAGGCTCCTGGGTGCACCTATCGCCAGGCCCTGGCTCATCTGGCCACCGAGCTACAGAGTGGGTGAGCTGCCACCTGGCTGGCTGGTCTCACCTGACACCCCACTGCTCCCTTCCCCTGGGCAGCTCTCTCTAGGGTGCACAGCCTCTCTTACTAGGACAGTCCTCACCAACAAATCCTGTCTAGACACACCCCCTGCCCTCTGCCAACCCCACCTCCCGGCTGTGGTCCCTTTCACTACCCTTTCCCCACAGCCTCAGGCCAGGCACACTGGCCTCCCGCTGTTCCTGACTATTCTACGTGTTCACCCTTTCAGGCAGCCCCAGCAGGCAGAGGTGGGGAACCTCACAGTCTGTACTGATGGGGACTCGGGACAGAGATGGAGCGGGGAGAGGGCTGAGTCCACTGGTCTGGGATCACAGCTTCCCTTGGGCAGCGTTAGCAGGCACCTGGCCATATTCAGGCAGGCAGTTCTTAAGGAATTTAGGTATAAAAAATACACCAAGCCATAATAATTTGGGGACATGACCAGGAGCCACAAGTAGGTCCTAAGGATGCCTCTGTCACTGCTCCTGTGTGTTGAGAGGGTACTTTCCCTGCAGCCCTTGAAGAGGGGCTGAGGTTCCAGCAGGGCTTTGGCAGGCCACAACCAGAAAATAAAAGGGGTGGTCATTATTCATGCAGAACAAGTCGCCCCGCTGCCTGCAACTCTGCTGGTCAAGTGTTGCTTTTCAAGTTAGGTTTCTGTGTTCTTTCTAAAGTTGAACATAGTGTCTAGCACCAGAAGCAGGGGACTATGAAGACCCCCTTTCCTCCCCATGTACACTCAGGCTGGGTCCCTCACGATGCCCGCCCTCCCTTCCTCAGGGAATGCCAGGACGGGCCGGAGCCCGGGTGGAAGACGCAGCTCCGGCAGGGAAAGGGAATCCCTGCCTTCAGCCCCAGAGCAGGGAGAGGGGAAGCTGGAAAGACTGGACTCTCAACTCATTACTTCATATCTTTCTTCAATAAACTGCTGATAAAATCCTTGGCATCATCGGAGATCTCATCGAACGCCTCATCGTCGAAGTCCCAGGTGGCTGAGGTAACATTGGCTAAGGTTTCGTTGTCGTTGTCTCCCATGAAGGGGGAAAGTCCACTGACCCTGGGGAGGTAAGAGCAGGAAAGCAGGGGTGAGTCGAGGAGCGTGGGAAGGCCCCCCAAGTGAGTGCTTCGGTCCTAGGTGAGGGCCGGCAAGCCCCCTACACCCCCAGACTCACGCTGTGGGTTCTGCACTAGCTTTTCCTCTGCCTGTGGAAAGAAAACAGGGTGTGGCTCCCCACAGGCTTCTGTGGCCTGCCTTTTCTCAGTTGCTCACCACACTTTTGGGTTATCACCTGCCTCTTGACACCACCTGCCTGGGAGGCTGAGGTGGAAGGAATTTGGTTTAGTTGGTGGACTTCCACAGGGTACACAGCAGGGCTGATACACCCCTTGGTCCTTGTCTTCTATTCTTCCCCCAAACCCAGCATAGAATCTTCTCTAAGTCCCTTCCTCCTGCACCCTCTCCATGGACCAGTCACGAGGGATAGCGAGCATCACTGCACCCTTTTGTCCCCTCCCTCCCACCTCTTCTTTGCACACCTTCAGCTCCAAGAAGAAAGCCTGGCACACAGGTGAGGCCCAGCAAGTGTGAGCCCAGCGAACAGATAGACTTGGAGTCAGTAATGTGGGTTCAGGGCACCCGAAACATTTACATCAAACCAGAAAGCTTCCCTACCAGGTACTGTGGCAGAGGAAAGAGCATAGCCCCTTCATTTGCTGAGTGGCCTTGGGCAGTTCCCCTCATCTCTGTGTCACGGTTTCCTCCTCTAAAGTGGAGAATCTACTACTTCACTCAGGGTGGTCACTCCTTCATCAGCAACATCGTGATGGCAGCAAACATTTATCAAACATTTATTATGTGCCAGGCACTGGGTCAAAAGCTTAAAATAGATGAACACATTTAGTCTTAATACTGTCCCGTAATGCAGGTAACTCTTAAAATGTCTTACAGATGAGGAAACTGAGGCATAGCACAGGGTTAGGTAAGCTGCCCAAGGTTCTGACAGTCAGTGAGATCCCAGGCATCTGTCTTAGAGCCTGTCCTCTTAGCTACTATACCATACTGACATTTCCATGAATATTAAGTGAATTGCAGTGTGCAGCACAGTGGCAGCACTAGCTCGAGGCCTGGCCACAGTGTGGAGTCCATCCATGACCTGAGCTATTGGCAGTTCCCTGGGCTCCCTCCACTGCCTTAAATTAGTCTGTGATGGCAGGAATGACCCATTTACCAGGAGCTTAAGCCAAATAGACGTGGGAAGGTAAAGAATCTCAAAGCCAAATAGCCCAGATTTATGGCTTATCGGCCTCCCCTCTCACCTCTGTGCACCTCATCTTCATACCAGCAACCCATCCCACCTTTCACACGGACCTTGGGCCGGCCTCATGGGTGTCCGACCCACGCAGTTGCCCAGACTCCCACCCTTAGATGAGCCCCTTGCTTGGTTTAATGCTCTGCTGCTGTCATCTCGAAATTTTTAAAAGTGTTTGAACAAGTGAACATCTTTTTTATTTTGCAAATTATGTAGCTGATCCTGCCCTGACCCCAACTGAGCCCCATGAGATGGGTCTGGGGCCCTCACACCATCAAGTTCTCAAGTTAGGGCTCTACTAATGTCCCTTCTCTGAAATCCTTGTGAACCCATCATTATACACGACAATGTGCTATCGCTGCATTTCTCCAACCCCTGGCTGTGGCCTGTTAAGAACCAGGCCACACAGCAGGAGGTGAGCGGTGGGCAAGGGACGGAAACATCATCTGTATCTACAGCTGCTCCCCATTGCTTGCATCACTGCCTGAGTCCACCTCTTGTCAGATCAGCAACGGCCTTAGATTCTGCATTATGGTGCGTTGTATAATTCTTTCATTATATATTACAATATAATAATAGAAATAAAGTGCACAATAAAGATAATGTGCTTCAGTCATTCTGAAACCATCCCCCCTGCCCCTTGGTCTGTGGGAAAATTGTCTTCCTTGAAACTGGTCCCTGGTGCCAAACAGGTTGGGGACTGCTGTGCTAACAGCTTTTGGAGAAGTTTTGGCATTTGAGAGGCCTAAGCTTATCAAATATACCTGTACCCAAACACTGAGTTTGGTAGAACAAAACCCACTTGAAATATTGGGAGAAAGCTTACCATGGGAGGAACCCTCTGGTGAAACGCTTTATAAAAAGAAGAAAGCTTTTGCAATGTGAATTATCTCACCTTAATCAACATATTTATGTTTTTGAATAATAGATTTTTGCAGATGGCATTTGCTTAAAGCAAGATGCTGATTGATGTTTTAAGAGGGCAAAGAGAGAATCACTCCTGGTCATAACCCCATGAGGGAAGGGTAGGAATTCACCAGTCCTTGAGTCTGTACTGTTATATGCAACTCCTTTCCCTATTCTGGGCCTCAGTTTCCCCTTTTCTATACCCAGGGGCCTGGGCTAGATTTCCTAGGGGCCTCCCAGCTCTCTCCATCTCTGCAATCCTGGGTGGCCTAAGCAAGCCCCATGGAGAAGCAGCCTGTCCCTTGCGTATCAGCTACCTGCTTCTTCTGGTCTTTACATTTTCTATCTGAAACAAAGAGGGGGAAGTCCTGCAGCACTGTAAAAGATGGCAGGAAAAGCAAACAACCCTGCTGTGGAATGCTGAAAGGTCCCCCTCTGCAAACCTCCTTTCCTAATTAGGAACTGTAATCCTGCAAAGATAGGTCTCAGAGTCTCTACTGCTCCAGCCAGGGAGCTCCTCCTTCCTGGCAGCCCATCCATCTGAAATACCCTCCATGCCCCTGCTGGCTCCTGGCCTGCCCAGCTCCCCTGCCTTCTCCCTATTAAAGAGCATGTTGAGCGTGAGACCAACCTGAGCAAGAGAGAGACCCCGTCTCTACAAAAAAATAGGAAAATTAGCCAGGCATCGTGGCCTGCGCCTGTTGTCCCAGCCATTCAGGAGGCTGAGGCAGGAGGATCACTTGAACCTAGGAGTTTAAAGTTGCAGTGGGCTATGATGACACCACTTCACTCTAGCCATAGTGACAGAGACCCTGTCTCTAAAAACCAAACCAAACCAAAACAAACAAGCAAAAAAATACATCTCTAGAATAAAACATGGAATATATGCATAGCATGATGACAAAGAGACAAAGAGAATGTTTGAATTTTCAGTAATACTGTTCCTGGGTGGTGGGGTTTTGTGGGATGTTTAAAAACTTTTTTCTTTATTGCTAGAATTTGCATAAGGATTCACATAATTTTTTATTAAAAAATAGTCATTATTTGTTAAAAATCAACCAGTCAACAAATACAGTAACTTGCTCTTCCTGCCAGAAACCAAATGAGTATTGCTAACTCCAGGTATCCACGCGATCTAATGTCTCCCTTCAGACTCAGGGGTGGGAGGGTGAGGGCTCCACGACCCCACCTGCTCCTTCCCTACACTGCCTGGAAAGTACAGCCAAAGTCCCAGGAGAACTAGTAGCAGGGCTAGTGTCTCTGGTGCCCAGATAGGAACTGCCCTGATCTCTCTGCGGGGTGTGCACAGGACTGACTGCAGGAGTTCCTTCAGTGGATCAGGCAGCCTGCTGCGACAGAGCTCGGCACTTTCCCTCCAACTTTTTGGCCTCTCCTCTCTCACTGGCCCCAGCGAGGAGATCAGGAAAGGTTCCCTGGGACAAAGGTGGAAGTGGCCCTGACCGGGACCTTCCAGGCAGATAACCAGCTCCAAAGACAGGGGCAGAGTGGGGCAAAGGATACCACAAGGGCCACTAGAGAACCTCATCTGGATCCTTCCAGCAGCGGCTCTAGAGTTCTGCAAAGCAGGGGCTTAAAGGCAGCCCTCTAGTGGCTCCAACTTTTCTTTACAGCACCACTCTGCGGAGAGCTCAGGAGGGACTCCCAGACCTCCACCCTCTGCACTGTGTGAGCCAGCCCCCCAAAGCCCCAGAGGGCAGTGCCCACAGTGGCCCATCCCAGATCCAGGAGCTGCCCAGGACTGACCCAGCCTGAGCCAGTCTCCCTGCCACACACACCCCTCCTCCCTCCTGACACCCGCTGTCCAAACACCTTCAGCATCAAAACCATCTTCTCCCCATTTCAAAAACTCTTTGGTCTTAGCTTTAAAAGTAATCTAAAAGTTGAATAGGCCGGGCGCGGTGGCTCACGCCTGTAATCCTAGCTCTCTGGGAGGCCGAGGCGGGCGGATTGCTCGAGGTCAGGAGTTCGAAACCAGCCTGAGCAAGAGCGAGACCCCGTCTCTACTATAAACAGAAAGAAATTAATTGGCCAACTAATATATATAGAAAAATATTAGCCGGGCATGGTGGTGCATGCCTGTAGTCCCAGCTACTCGGGAGGCTGAGGCAGAAGGATTGCTTGAGCCCAGGAGTTTGAGGTTGCTGTGAGCTAGGCTGAGGCCACGGCACTCACTCTAGCCTGGGCAACAAAGCAAGACTCTGTCTCAAAAAAAATAATAAATAAATAAAAGTTGAATAGTCAATATATTCCATAGTAATAAAAAAAGACCAAAAAAAAAAAGAGGAAAAAAAAGTAATCTAAAAGTAGGCAAACAAGGTAGCATACTGCGTTCTTCTACCTAGTAGAACTTTCATTTTACATTATTCTTATGATCTAGTAGTTCTAGTTCTAGATCATATATCCAACCAACAGAAGAAATATATAAGTATGTTCACTGAAACACATGTACCAGAATGCTTGTAATACTCCAAGATGTTGTAACACTCCATGTAGTTTGGAAACTACTCAAATATCCATTGAAGTAGAATAGATAAATTAATTGGATTATATTCACACAATGGAATACTACATAGCACTGAGAAAAAACAATCTACGACAACAAATAATACTATGAATGAATCTTACAACATGAAGCAAAAAGAGCCAGACACTTCTTTCTGTATGATTTCGTTTATATAAAGTTCAAGAACAAGCAAAGCTAACCCATGACATTAGACACGAGGAGAAAGGTTACCTCTGGGGGACAGAAACAGGATGGGGCACCAGAGGACTGCAGGGCCCTGGTAGTGTTTGGTTTCTTGACCAAAACTTACTGAGCAGTCTAGCCACTGCTCTGTCACTGACCAGCAGAGAGACCGACTGTCCTACTTTGCCTGGGACTGTCCCCATTTTAGCACTGAAGGTCCTGTATCCCGGCAAACTGGGACAGTTGGTCGCCCGCTCAGCCTGTGGGAAGTGGGCAGCCATGTGGGCTTCCTTGGCTCCAGTCCCCCCCAATGCCAAAGGAAAATGGAGTCCCGGCCATGGCCCACCAATCAAGATCCTATGTGAAAAGTGTGGCTGCAGATGATCCCTGTGCCACAGTGATGGGAGGACTGACTGAAGGGCAAACAGCAAGGCAAGGATCTTTGGTGGCTGGAGAGGGTCCCTGGCACCAAGCAGGCTGGAAGGGTCTGCCCCGAGTGAGCTGGCCAAGGACTGCTTCTCAAGGGTCAGAGATCAGTGTGAGCACTGGGCAGGCTGGGGACAGCCCCGGAAGGGGCAGGCTGGGACCCGCCCTGCTGTTCCTTACTTACCAAGGGAGCCAGGAGGAAAGCATCTGGAGCACTTGTTGCTTTCACTCACCAGCCCCCTTCTCCAGGAGTGGGGAGGGGTGGGGAGAGGCAGGGAAATGCGTGGGCCAGAGGTTTCTCTATGGATCTGGGGAGGGTGTGGTGCTGGGGCTGATCCCAGGCAGGGAAGAAGATGACTGTCTGGGGTACAGAACCTGTGGCACAGGTTCCACTGAGGGAGGCTGTCCTAACAGGTGAGAGTAAATCTCTTGAGCATGTGAAAAAGCCACATTGCACAAAAGTCACCCCACTTTTGCTAAAGCTTTTGTAATATTGGCTCCTAAACCCAACTATACATCAGAAATCACCATTCTCCAACTGGGTTCTGAAGCCCCTGGTGGTCTGGGAAAGTATCCTTAGAGGTCCTCCTGAAGTTTTCTATGAAAATATTACATTTTTCTTTTGTTTTGACAACAAAAATATTTTTTAATGAATGCACACATATCTGCATCTTCAGGGAGACCATCCTCTAACTGCGTATTGCCACACAAGTTCAGGGGCTGCCTCTGAGGCTAAGGACTGTCTGCAGCCTGGGGCCTCGGAGACTAAATCAGTGAGACCCCACCAAGAGTGTGTCCTAGAGCCTTGCTAGTCAAAGTGTGGTCCTTGGACCAGCATCATCGGCAACATGGAACCTGTTAGAAATGTGGAATCTCAGGTCCCCCAGACCTGAGTCAAAACCCCAACTGAAGGAGACACCTAGAGATTTCATGCAGCAAATGTCTGGGGCCACCATCTTTCTGCAGTGTTGTTAATTGAAATGGCTTCTTACAAGGGTATTTTCCACCTGTTTCTCAGCTCTAATTACTGTGTTTCTCTCTGTTGTCTGTTGGTCCCATCAAAGACTATCTTCAAAAGGGTTTATTCTGTAATCCTAGCAATCAGGGAGGCCAGACGGGAGGATTGCTCAACTCCTGGCCTCAGGAGTTTGAGACCAGCCTGAGCAAGAGTGAGACCCCCGTCTCTACTAAAATTAGAAAGAAATTAGCTGGAAAACTAAAACTATATAGAAAAATTAGCCAGCACATGCCTATAGTCCCAGCTACTTGGGAGACGAAGGCAGGAGGATCCCTTAAACCCAAGAGTTTGAGGTTGCTGTGAGTTAGGCTGACGCCATGGCACTCCAGCCCAGGCAACAGAGCTAGACTCTGTCACCAAAAAGAAAAAAAGCGTTTATTAGTTCATCCTTATCCTGGACTCAGAGAAAAGGCTGGCCGTTGGGGTCCCCGTCCTGTGAGGATGGGGTGCTGTCCTCTAAGACAATGAGGATGCACAGAGATAGGCACCTGGCTCCCTCTCTCCTTTGTGGAGCCACCAGCCACATTTTCCACCCTCCTGACCAAAGGCCCAGGCGGGCCAGCCTTGGGGACAGTGAGTGCCTGGGGTGGGGACCCTGATGTGTGGAGTTACGTGATGCTACAGGATATGATGCAAGCTACTGACCTGTTGGAAGCCCACACCTCCCCGACTCTGGGTTGGATCCCACTGTCACCCACCCTGGCCGCTCCCTCAGGGCAGCCTGGGCACCTTCTGCAGGACCCTCTGCCCTGCCGCACGTGCCCAGCACTCACAGGATGTAGCAGATGACCCCGATGCTCCACATGTCCGTGGCGTAGCCGATGGGCTCATAGTTGATCACTTCAGGAGCCACAAACTCCGGGGTGCCAAAGAGGACCTTCAGAGAGCCCGCGTTCTCTGAAACCAGGACGGAGAGGGATCAATCTCCAGCATTATCACCAAGCCAGCTTGGGTAAGTGGCTGCCCTCATCTATGTGCTGGCCCCATCTGGGAGAGCAGAGACAAGGGCCCAGGGTACTCGGTCCTTGGGTGATGGCACAGAGACATTTGACCTCGTTGTTAAACAAGAGCATCAACACACCTGTGAAACTACATGCTGCATACTCACCTCACCTGAGCGGGGTAACCAGGGTGACGAGGCCATTAAAGCACCTGCCCCTGAGTGGTCCTTCTGACTTACGCTTGGTATTAATAATAATCTCTAACATTCACTATGTCCTATGCACCCACTACCAGCTTTACAAGGATTTTTCCCATTTAATATCCTCACCAACCCTAAGGGGTGGGCATGATGCCCATAGTACCAGGGATGAGACTGAGGCCTGGGGAAGTGAAGTGATTCCCCACCCAGTTAATAAGTGGTGGTCTGACTCAAGCCCGGGTGGTCCAGCTCCTGAGCCATGCTATCCTCCACCCCACCACTCTCCTGCACATCACAGCTCCATGGCTCTCCTGCAGGAGCTGCTGGGACGGCATTCAGCATTCGAGAGAGGCCGTAACCCTAAGGTGGTGCCTCTTAGCCACAAAGGACCAGAGATGCCCACTAGTGGGCACTAGAGGCAGGTACCTGGTGTAGGCACTGGCTCAGGAGGAGTCAGCAGTGGGAGTGGCAAACCTGTGGCCTGTGGGCTGCATCTGGTCTTGCTGAACTTTGCAGAGCCTGCAGCAAGTGCTCTACAACAAAGCACTTAATGATATGGAAGCTCTGCTCCAACTCCTGCTCCTAAGCCCTTCCTGCTATATTTTAAACACTCCCCAGTTCTCTGGCTTTTCCTTGGTGGACACCACTGTTCCTACAATATCCCTTCATCGAGGGAACCTGAACGTTGTGTTCCTTGAGGTCTGATGCTGCTGGCGTCTGAGGCCAGTGGCCTCCCTATTCGTTTAATTTTAGTGGTTACTGTGCAAAGGCAGGCCCCGCACACCAGTTGCTGCCCCCACCCTGTCCCTGCAGGAGGGAGCAGAGCGGGTGCAGTCCCCTGGCATCGGGGCGTGCTGACTGCCAGGCCAGCCATGGCTTCACTTTCTTCTTAGGACCAATGCAGCTGCAACCAGCAGGGGCATGCTGGGAGAAGCGTACAGGGTGGGATTAGCATGGCCAGCTCCTTCCTGCTCCACCCAGGGTAGTGAAATAAAGGTCAGCTCACCCCCGCCGTGGGGCTCCTTGCTAACAGGGCAGTGGCCGAGTGTGTGAGAGTGAAGCTGTTTCCTTAATTACTGAGACATCAAAGAGCTACAGGGGCAGGGTGGCCATAGGGGGAATATGAGGCAGACAGTCACCGACCACAACGCTTTCAGGGTTGGGTTAGGAAGCCTTTCCGTTTCCCCATTCCCTCCCTCCTGCCCAGTGTGGGCGCAGCAGAGGAGCTACAGAGCACCCTGGGTGTGGGGGGGTCCTTAGTCCAGCCCCAGCACTTCCCCTGCTCAGGGTGGGTCCTCCCGGGCAAAGCTATTGTGAACCTCAGGATCATACTCTACAAACCGGGGCTCATAGCATCTCTCATGCCTGCCTCACAGTGACAGTCAATTGTTTTAATGTGACAGTGCTCTGGAAACTGTACAGTATGATGCAGGTGAGAGGAGCCACCACTATCTACATGAGTTTTGCCACTAATGGCACCAGAGTGAGAAACAGAAGAGGGATAATCATCATCATCATCAGGCACTGTTCCCACCACTTTACCGACACTAACATGCCCGATCCTCCTAACAAATCTGTGAGGTAGGTGCTAGTATTAACCCCTTTCCCAGGTGAGGAATTTGAGGCTCACAGTCACACAGCTAGTTAGTGGTAGGGGCAGGATTTGAACCTGAGCAGTCTTCGTGGTCTCTGATTTAACCCTAATAGCATACATTTCCTCTAACCGCCAGTGTGTGCAACGCAAAGAGCCCCTGCCACCACATGGCCGGGACAGCAGGAGAGGTGGCCTTACCCAGCCTCCTGGCCAGACCGAAGTCGATGAGCTTGATCCTGGTGCCCGTCTTGTTGACACACATGATGTTCTCGGGCTTGAGGTCCAGGTGGACGATGCCCTGCTTGTGGATGTACTCCACCCCCTCCGAGATCTGCTTCATGTACTTGATGCACTCGCGCTCCGTCAGCTCGAAGTCCTCGTCAATGATGCGCTCAAACAGCTCACCCCCTGACACGCTGCGGGGACGGGAGGCCGGGAGAGCAGAGGGCCGTCAGACCACAGCCCCGTGCAGGCCGGGCTGGCAGGGCGTCTGGCCAGGGGTAGGCTGGGGGCAGGAGAACTGGCAGGAAAGCCTGGGGTATGGGGGTGATGGGTACTTTATGCAGCTTCCTGAATCCCATCTTCCATCAAGGGAAGAGGGTCGGGGGCCTCCTGGGTTCCTGCTTGGGGGACCCTGCTTAGGGGATCCCACTAAGCTGCTGCGGGATTCAGGGGAGCATCTGGGCCAGGCAGTTTCAGAGGTGGGTGTGAACGGAGAAATCTAGACATAATTTCCTTAGCAAAAAGAGGGACTGCTGGGCAATCTCTTTTTCTCGAATGACCACAGAAGCATCAGGGAACATTCTTGGACCTTAGCTGTATCTTTTAGTCACAGGGAACCAAAGTTTAAAATACTCACAGTTACCATAAGCATTTATTTTACATAGCCAGAATAGAAAAAGATCTTCAATAACAAGGAGGTTCTGCAAATTTTCTAAAATTGGTGGGTTATAAACCATCATATCTACAGTTGTGATAGATTTGCTTACTGTAGCTAGGCCTATAGCATCAGTTCACTTCCTCCAGCCATAACTAACTTGTCTCCCCTGGGCCCCTTCCTTGCCCAGGCTGAGAGTGTAATCCGGTCTGCCTGGATAGACTCTAGATCCTGGCCATGCCCAGTCAACTCCGTGCTTCTGGAGCCCACAGCTGCACGTTCTCAGCTAAGAACTGCTCCCAGGCCTTGGCCAGCCAGCATACCACCCTTCAGTGCAAACACAGGGCCCCGCTGCCTGAGTTGCACAGGTTCTCTCTTTTCCCCTATCCCACCCTCTGAACCCACCTTCCTTGCTCACTGCTTAGCAAATTTAAAGCATCTCCTAGGTAACTTACGCAGTGCCCAGATATTAGTAAGCCCACTTTTCTACAATGGCCTGCGGGTCTACCAGCTGAACAAGGCTGGGGGTCTTTGTTCCGGGCCCGTCCTCTTACAAGGACTTGTAAGGGGAGTCATTGTGAAGAGGGGAAGGAGCTGAATTTGAATCTTGTCTCTGCTTTTTGCAAGCTGTGTGACCTCGGGAAAGTTGGTTAACCTTTCTAAGCCCCAGTTTCCTTATCTGTCCAGACCTCACAGAGTTGTTAGGAATGTAGAATCCTTTGTAAAGTATCACGCCTAACACACAGTAGGTGCTCAGTGCATGTTAATTGTTATTTGACAACCTGTGGTGGACCAAATGGATCTTGTCACCAACCCCTGCGGGAGAGACAGGGATGCACTATGGGACGCAGCACACCACAGCCTGTTGGACACAGGACACAGGACACACACTTCTGGAGGGCAGAGCTGGGCAAGGCCGTCTGTGCCAGTGGCCGCTGGAGGTAGCTAGAACTGATGCTGTAGATCCAACGGGGAAGGTCCCTGCATGGCCAGCAGGTGGCGCCACTTGTCCTTGTGTCCTCCATTTCTATTGCTCTCCACCAAGCTAAACTCTCCCCTCTATTCTTAGGTTTCAGCCAATTATTAACATCTCTGTGCCTCAATTCCCTCATCTGTATGATGCAGGTAAAAACAGCACCATCTCACAGGGTTGCTGCAAAGACTGAATGAACTAATACAGGTAAAATGCTTAGAAGAGTGTATGGAACATAGTAAATGCTCAATGTTAATTATCCATAAAATTATCAGTAAATTTTTTATTTTATTTTAAAAAATCACTTAAGGCTTTTGTTAAAAATACAGATTCCTAAGCTCTTCCTTTGGAGATTTTGATTTAGAAAATCTTGGGAGCGATCTGAGGATCCATATTTTTAATAAGTACCCCAGGTCATTCTTATGACTAGACTAGATCATAAGAATGAGAAATTCTGGCTTACTCAACTACCAACCCTGGGAGGACAGCTGAAATTCACGTGTTCTGAGAAATCACTCCTCATTTCCCTATTAAATGACCTTTCTCTCCCTGGGCACCCACAGCCTTGTATCTGCACTTTTTGTATCAAGCCTGCCTTGCCTTAAAGTTGTTCATGAACATGTCTGTAAGATGTCTAGTGTATCTCTAGGCCCCTATTTATATCTGACAATATTTGGCACAGATGAGGTGCCCCAAAACGCTTGCTTTTAAATTTAAAATATTCTGAAAAGGCAAGCAGCCATTACATTCAGTGCCCTTGGGAATGTCTAAGGCAATGAGTGGTAGAAATCTGAGCCTTGGAGATAATTACTGCTACATTTTTAGAGGTAAAACTTATTCAATATAAATTCAAATAGGTTCGATTCTATTCACACATACTTAATATATTTTGAAAATCGTTCCTATGGTTTATTTTCCAGAATGGAAGGTATTAAACAAGTAGAATTAATGGTTCTGTAGGTTTCTTTTCAAAATTCTCGAAGTGGAAAGTATTGGTTTGCTAGAAAGAAGCTGCCACCCACAGAAATGGGATGGGAAGGGCCAAGACTGGACCAGAGGAAATGTGTGCTTAATAAATGAATAGTGAGTGAGTGAAATGAATAAATGAGTAGATGAGTGAATACTTATCAGCAAGACTACCTAATCCCAAGGAATCAAATTTATCCCCTAAACTCTAGACTTCAACCAGCCTGCCCAGGCAGCCAGAAAGAGTAGTGCTATCAGGGGACTTGATACCCAGACCTTCCCCTTGTCTCATGGCAGGACAAAGGTGAGATGAACCACAGGTGGCTCAGCCTAAGCTTCATTTCCTCTTCAGTGCTCAGGGACCCATCACCACTTGGAATGTCCCAGGCACTTCCAGAAAGACAAGCCCAGGCTCCAGGCCAGGGGGCTGAAGGAAGCCCTGTCTCAGAGCTACATGATAGGGGCTTGCCAGTAATCAGAAGTCAGAAAGGCTGAAGACATTCATTCTTATTTCTCACTATATCTGAGGCAGCTGAACTGAAGAAGGCTGGGACCCTGGAATACGTTTTCATTTTTCTGTATCACCAGGCATCCTCCTTCTCTTAATCTCAGTTTCTCCATCAAACAGGAGAATAGCAAAGACTGAAAATCAACCCTCTCAGTGGTCAAGTCTTAGAATGTTTGAGCTGGGAGGGTTGAGTTCCTATCAGGGCAAGCTTCTTCCCCCGGGGTCCAGGCACACCTCTGGCATCTGTGCACGTCGACCTGCTGCCGTCCATGGGGGAGGCGTGGGGTGGAGGGATGAAAGCCAGACCAGCTGAAGCCTGAATTTTTCTCTCTTTTTCCATCCAGCTTGCCAACTCCCCATTCCAAGCTAAGTATGGTATTCTGCCCACTGGAGCTGCTGCCCAGCCTTCCCCAGGCCCTGCCGCCTCCTGCCCCCTCCCTGCCCCCCTCACCAACTCGCTCAAGGTCTAACTTCTAAAGATAAGACATTCCTCCACATGTCCTCACATGCCCACACTGCCTGGACAGAGCAACCTGTTCTGGAATGAATGTGAAAAGATGCAGCCCACAGGGCTACTGTGAGCGTGTCATGAACGAGGCCACGGCATGGGCTAAATATTTCCTGAAAGTGGGGAGGAAAGTTTGAATTTGGGGCTGAAAATAGATTGAAAGATACAAATGGAGATTATCTCTGAGTCCTTTTTGGTTCCACAGAACTGGAGAATTCTACAGCCAAAAGGGGAGTCTTGAGGTCAATTATTCTAATCCAAATACCTCTTCTCACTGGTAGGATTTAACAATTACAAAATTGCAACTCGATAGTAGCAGAAACTGAAGCCAGGCTTCCCAAATACTAAGAAGGATTTGTTCCACAGCACCTAGTTGGATGCTAAATGCTCAAAAAGTACTTTTAAGTAGAAAAAAAGACCAGACTACAGACAAAGTCAATGCATCACACCGCTAACAATAGCTCCCATGACAGAGCACCGTGCCTCACATGCATTATTCCATTTAATCCTCACAGTGCTCATGAGGCGGTTTTAATATCCTTTTTTATGGATGATGAAACTAAGGATTGCCACAATGGACAAACTTAACTCAGGTCAAACAACAACAAAGAGGCAGAGCTGGGATTTGAAGTAAGGTTTATCTGACTCAAGTCTGCACTCTCATCTACTATTGCCTTTTCCAAAGAAGGCATACGGAAAGGAAACACCTGTTTGCCAAAATGCTAATGCAATGAGGGGAGAGAAAAGACTAATTAATATTCCACTCACAGTTAAAGCTTGGGCATGTCTTCCTGGCCTCAGCTTTCTGGGGGAAGATTCCACCATGCTGACAGAGAGTCTTCTCCAAAGGCCCCTGATCCCTAAAGTTCAGTCTGAGCAATTCAAGGATGCTGAAGGCAATTTTACAATATCTCTAAAAATTTCAATTGTACATATCATTTTATTTATTTTTTTCTTTTCTTTCTCAGTCCATTGCAGTGGTATCAATACATACCCTTTTAATCTAGCACTCCCTCACTTATGGAAATTTATCATACAGATACACATAGGCATGAGTGAGAAGATATATGCACAAGGTTACAAATAATGCTTGTTTGTAAGGGCAAAAGCCTAGAAACTGCCCATCTTCTTATTAAAAGAAGACTTCTTAATAAATTGTGATATATCCATATGACAAAGTCACATGGAGCTTTGAGAATGAGGTGTCATTCTCACTAGGTGTCGATATGCGACCATCTTCCACATCAATTTGTTGAAAAAAGCAAAGTATAAAATAGTAAGTACAATAAACTGCATTTTGTGTTAAAAGGTGGGAAAATAAGAATATATTAATATATATCATATATGTTTATATTTTCACATACATGCTTATATTTGGAAGGATACAGACAAAACCAATAAAACTATTTACCTATGGTGCTGGTGGTGGGGAGTCAGTACAGAGTAGCTAGGGACTTTTCACTGTGCATTTCCTTATATTTTTTGAGGTGATTATATCATATAAAATATTCAGATAAAAAAGAAAACTCTTATAATACACAGATGCAGTGGAAGACACCTAGCTTACTGATGTCAGTATGTGTGTCTGCATATGTGTATTTTTGTGTTTGTGTTGTGCGTGTCTCTGCATGTGCAAGGTGGGTGGAAGATTGAGATGTAGATGAAACAAAGGATTTTGGGAAAGCCCTGGCTGGAGGTCATCGGATCCATCCCCCAGCCTTGGTACAACCCAGCAGAGAAAGTGCTACTCTCTGCTGAGTGACAAGTCAAAGCAGCTCAAAGGAAGGCAGAATGGGGCCTGCAGAGGCGCAGGGAGGACCTGGAGCAAGGCTTCCACTCCTAGATTCCAGCCCCCAGCCCTGGGTCCTCTGTCTTTCCCAGGGAAGTCAGGAAGCTGCCCTGTCCCTGACCCACCCCTGGACTCTAAACCACCTACAGGCGAGAACACCCCTGAGTGAAACCAAGGAGCCTAGGGGCAGCTTAGGCCCTTTCACAGGGAGCTGAGGGTGAAAAGGGCACAGGGGTCTGCTAGCTTATTACTAAAGTGAGCACAGGGCTGCCGGGTGGGGCTCAGTGGGTCAGTGCCAGCTCTTTTGGTCCTGACTGGCCAGCCCTGGCCATAGGCTCATATCTTGCATGTCACACCCTTGTCTGCAGCGCTTTCCATCTCGGGGCAGGGGTGGCTGGGATGGGACAGTAGGGGAGACACATTCGGGGGCTCCCCCAGCCCACAGTGCCCGGGCTGCTGGTGGCAGGCCACTCACATCTCCAGGACCATGACGATGTTGGCCTTTTCCTCGAAGGCGTCCACACACTGCACCAGCTTGGGGTGGTGGAGGCAGTTCATGATGCTGATCTCCTGCCGGATGTTCTCTTTCTCTTTTGCCGAATACGCCTTGAAGAATTTCCCTGCCCAGATTTTCCTAGTTTTCTTTTCTACAAGTCGAAAGACCTGTCCGAATTTCCCACTGAAAACGAAAGGGGGAGGAGAGAAAAGCCAAATTTAGCTGAGCTTTCTACTAAATTGGGGTTGGCACATTACGGTCCCTGGGACAAATCTGGCCCACCTCTTTTATAAGTAAGTTTTTACTGGAACCAAGCCACACCTGTCTGTTTCTATATTGTCTATGGCTGCTTTCGTGCCGCAGTGGCAGAGCTGAGTAGTTGCGACACAGCATATGGCTCACAAAGCCTAACAGTAACTTCTGAACCTTTATGGGAAAAGATTGCCGACCCTTGCTCTAGATGAATGAAGCACATTTCTTTTTTCAATTTTGGTTTCCTACAAACACTCAACTGGTACTAATGAAGCACATTTCTAATGGTGACAGTGCTGCTCTCAATCTAGGCTGACGGATGGACATCTTTCCCTCCCTGCACAGGGCCCATGGAGTTGGGCTGAGGCAGCCCTTCCCAAACACGGAGAATTACTGAGTGGCTGCCTTCCTTCCCCTCCATGCCCTAGCACGGAGGCAGGATCCTGTTTCCCAGGACAGTGGAGCGTGGGGTTCCTGTGGGACGGTGCTAACTCCTTTGCAGAGCTGTTATGCGGTCTGCATCGCTCCTTCATTTCCCGGAAACAACTGGAAACACAAGCCGAGTCCCATTCCTTTTTCTTCCCCCTCTTGTACTCCTCCAGGGATGGAGAGTTAGGAGGGGATGCACAGCTTGGCTGTGACCAAGGCTCAGGGTTGGGGCCTGAGCCCACTGGCACCCTGCGCACCCCGGGGAGGAGCCAGAGTAAGCGGCGTGGACCAAGTCCTTGAAGGGAGCCGTGATGGCCACTGTGCATTTTAGTGGAGCACGGAAGCCGGCCGGCACTGCTGAACAGCGTGCGCTGATCGGGCTCCTCTGACCTTAGTGGACCGAATGGAAGGGATCCAAAGACAGTCTGACCCAGGTCTAGCCCTCTCCTTTCAGTCCTGTGCTGTGAGCGGAGGCACAGAAGAGGCAGGACTTGCCCACGGCTTTCGCAGAGCTGGGCCGGTGCCGAGCCGCAGGAGCAGCCCCACAGAGCTGTGGCGCGATGCTCCGTGGGCGCTCGCTCCTGATTCCACAGGACTCTCAGCCAGGAGGTAGAGCTCAGAAAAGACAGAAGGCCAGAACACCGGATTTAACTGTGGGACCTGTGCCACCCTCACCCTGGGTAGGCAGCTACCCATTCCACTTACGATCCTAGTCGCTCTTCGATGTCATAGAAGTCAGATACTTTTTGTTCCGTATTGACCGTCACTGTCCGGTAATCGACCTCAGGCTCCTTCTCGTCTGCAAGGGATGGGTGGGGGTCAGTGTGACGCACCAACGCCCCTGCTCAGCCCCCTCCACCCTGCAAGTCTGACCCGAGGACAGGTGGCCAGCACTCACCGTCATCTGACACCTCCACTTCATCCTTTGGCTCTGGGGGGGAGACAAGGAAGGACAGAAAGGGCACAGGTGATTAGTACTGAGGGCCCACCAAGAGCAGGACGTGCTGGGGGCCTTGCCAGGCATAGGACCACCAGGCCCAGAGAGCTGGGCATCCCCCAGAGGGGGCCAGGTACAGACTGGCAGGTACCACCTATCCCCATGCAGCCCCCTCCTCCACCAGGTCTCCCCTGCGCCCCTTCCTCTCTAACCTCGTGGTCCCCAGACATACCCTTCTCTACATCCCTCCAGTCCCTCTTGACTTTCGGAATCTGCATGCAACTGTGACAGTCCCTTTCTGCCCTAGCTTAAAATCCAGCAACTTAGAAGCGCTTCTAGTGTCAAATCCATTGACTCATTTGTTGAACATGCTTTATAGAATTCCAGCCATGTACTGAGTACCTTGCTAGTTATTGTGGGCATTCAAGACAATCATGATCTCCCCTTTCTTGAAGCTTATAATTCAGTCGGAGAGGCAGAAACATGTACTTGAAATATGGGTTACAAAGTGTTGCATCATTAAGCAGCATCACCATGGTACCAACTGAATACACAACTGAGGAGGGTGGCACAGAAGGGGCAATCATAAAACCAGAGCAATTATTCTCAGAAGAAATAGCCCTTGGGTTGTACCTTAAAGGAAATCATGGAATACAGTGAGGGTTGAGTGACGTGGCAGAGGTGAAACCAACAGGTGCTCGTGGCAGACGGGGAGGGACACGGCAGCCACGCTAGCTGCTCACGTGGATGTGAGCGGGGGCACGGGGACAGGTGGGGTGGCCAGCAGGACACGTCCGCTTCAGAGCTGCAGGCTTCCCTTTGCCTTGGTATAGGTTTGTCTCTTGACAATAAGGCCACTCTGGCTGCTTGACCTTGGCTAAATGCCTTTCCCTTTCTGGGCCTCAGTTTCCCCATCCGTAAGAGGCAGGAGATGAATGAGGGGGCTTCTGAGAAAACTGAACAAGGACATTAGGGACATCATGGGGAAAAGGATTTTCAAAGTGTGAGAAGCTGAGTGTGGGATAGTGTGGGAGTGTGAGTGTGTGGGGTAGTGTGGGAGTGTGTGAGGTATGAGTGTGGGTGTAGGAGTGTGTGGGATGTGTGTATGTGAGTGTTACAGTGTGGGTGTGTGGGACAGCGTGGGAGTGTTAGAGAGTGTGAGAGAGTGTAAGAGGGTGGGAGAGTATGGGAGAGTGTGAGTGTGGGACAGCATGGGAGTGTGGGAGAGTGTGTGGGTGAGTGTGTGAGTATGAAAGAGAGCCTCAGACCTGGGGAAGTGCGTGACTTGCCAGGGCCCAGCGAGCAGGCTGAGGAAGAGAGAGAAGTGGTGGCCGGCTGTCCTCCGAGGGACCAGGGCAGACGGGGCAGAGGGCTGGTCAGGCACCGCCCGGAGGAGGGGTTGAGTGTGGGCTGCACCCTGCGGTGCTTTGCGAGTTCAGCACCTGTGACGGGCGTGAGCCGGGAGAAGCTGCGGCCGGAGCTGCGGGCAGTGGGCCTCTCCAGCAGGCTGAGGGCAGAACAAAGGGCTGGACCCTCAGCAAGCGATCTGAGGAGAAGTAACAAGGTTCCATGCAGCATAAGTACCTCTTACTGGAAAAGAGTTTTGAGAGAGTTTATAAGGAGCAGGAGAAGCCGTGATTTGTTTAGAGTTCTTAAAATGCTTCTGGCAAAGTTTAGTTTCAAAAAACTAAACATGAGTGGGACTGGGAAGACTATGTTATGGCAGAAAGGAAATTGCCATGGAAAAATACGAAAGGGTGAGAGAGATGGGAACTCTCAGAGAGGGTCCAGCTGATGAGGCTGTGGGTTTCACAGCTACTGCCTAACTGATTGATCTTTCTACACTCACGTATTTGGGAGTTAAGAGTGTCACTGGTCCAACTCACTGATGATAAGGATGACCTGGGAGCAATGCACCCAGAAGCTGGTAATGGAGTCAGAGTTCAGGGAGAATGAAATCATTTTGCCTTTTAGGGTGGTGAACGGTAGTCAGAACCCAAGAAGGGGAGCACAGGTCCCCAACCTGCTGCTCTGGCCCACAGGATGCTGTCGTGGGGATATGTGCACTGGTACCAGCGGGTGTCATCACTCGGTGGCCCTTGCTGGAGCCTGGGCACCTGCCCTGGAACTCCGCCTGCTGGCGGCCGGGAAGTCACCAGCAGGAGCTGCGGCAGGTCTGGGGCGCCGCTGAAGGGAAGGGCTGCCATGGTAGGACCATCAGGAAAGGCCAGGCCTCGCTTATTGGGAAAGAAGTCTAAAGTGGACATGAATTAAAAGGAAATCACAGAATTGCCAAGGGTGAGATTAGGGTGGCAGACTTTTCATCCTCTTGTGAATACTATGCCTCGAGGGGCCCGTTTGGTGTCCTGCCTCACACAGGAGGGAGGCTGCGGGCACAAGGAACGCACATAGGTCCAACAGATGCTTAGGTTAGTTCAACGACAATATTGTAAACGGGGCTTTAACCACTTCGGTACATAGTCGAGGGCCACAGATGAAGGTGCACAGCCGAGCGTCAACTTCAGTGCTAATAACAAAACTTGACTTTTCTAATTTTTCATTTATCAAAAGAAAATTGTGAACATTTAAAAATAACGTAATGAAAACATATATGTATGTGTTACCTATTCTGATTTACATTACAAGTAAAGCTGCCTGTAAAGTAAAACAAGCTTTCAGTGCTTTTAAGCTTTCCTCATCACACAAGAGCAAACGGGATTCGTCGTCAACGCACAGCACAGACTATCGTGCGGACGATGAGCGCCGGCTGTGGGCGAGGTCTCGCGGCCGGTGAGCGCCGTGCCGCAGTGGTTAAGGGAAGCCGGAGAGTCAAGTCAACGGACACCTGGTGGCTGCCAGTCACTGGACTAGGTCTTGGAGGCAAAACAACCCTGACTGTCAGGGAGTCGGAGACAGTGGTCCCGACGTGCTGGGGCTTCCTGTTTCTTGTTCCCACGCCACATTTTCCCAGTGCAGCGTGGGGACGTCCTACACGGCGGGGTGAGAGAGAGAAGAGGAGGCAGGCTTTCTTGGCCCGGGGTCGACAGGAACGGTGTGTTCTCTGCCAGTGAAAGCGCAGCACGTGGCTGGAGCCAGGAGGCCTGTGACTGGATCCAGAGGTGTCCCCCACGAGCCTTGAACAGGCACCGGTTCCAGACCTCCCTGCCGCCCTGACTCCAGGCAGATGGCTCAGAGCCAGCCCACGTCTGCCCCTCACCTCCACCTCGCCCCCTGGGGGTTAGAGTCAGGGCTCTGGTCAGAGACTAGATCATCCTCAGGGAGTTCCCGGCCCTCCTCGGGGTGCCCTGTCATGTGGCAACCTCTCTTCTGCAGGAACTTTGACGGAGACTCCCAGCTGTGCGTTCCCCTTCTGCCTTCCCCTTCTCACCCCGCCTCAATTCTGTTTGAGGGGCAACATGGCCACAAGGGAAGGGCCGACAGGGAAGGAGGCAGAGGAGAGGCCACAGCTCGGTTCTCCCATAAAGGGCTGCAGTAATGAGAAAGATGACCGGTTTGGTTTCCATCTTCCCACCAAGGAAGGAGCTAAAAGTGAAGTAGAAGGGACTTCAACTAAACATCTAAAAACTCTATTCAGAATGAGCTATGAGCTCCCAGAGCTTAGTGGAAGACTGTCTGGAAGGCGGTTCTGAGATATTTCTGCAAATAGAGGAGAGTCCCATTACCTGGAGTGGTGTTCCGGAGAGGACCAGCTAAGTGCTTGGGACCCCTAAGCAGCACGAATCCCGTCTGTCCCCTGGACAGAGAAACAACCCTTCCCTTGGCTGAGGACTGTCGCATGCCCAGTGGGCACTAGAGGGCACCCTAGCCCCAGAGACAGCCTCTGCGAGGCGTGCTGGAGCCTGGGACAGGCTCTGCCTCTCTAAATGCCCCTGGGCTGCAAGGAGGCCCCAGTTCTGCAAGAAGCCTCAGTCACGGCTGATTTACTAACAACAATAGGGACAAACGGAAATTAGGGTTAGGAGCAAGGCTGGATTCAGAGTGAGAGCAGGATTACAGTGGGAGTGGAGCCCACACCTGCTGTGCTGGGGAGAACGGGGTGTCAAGGTGGAGGCTGTTTGCTGGGCTTTGGGAAGACTGGGTGTGGAGCAGTCAGTTTAGGGACACTAATCTTTCTTAGGGGCGGCTCTGGCACAGGGAAGCCGCTGGAGCCGTGCAGGGAACCCTATGCCTTGTCTTCCGTGGTAGCCACGTGCCTATGGCAGCGCCCGCACACAGGAGGGGCAGGGCACACGGGGTGGATGAACACGGGGTGAGAACTGGGGCATGAGCAGGGCTGCAACTGAGAGACCAGGATGAAACAGAGACTAAAGCTGCCCAGGCAAGAGGCAGGAGCGGTGGCGGCGGTGAGGCTGGTCAGAGCCAATGTTAGCCCGGCCGTGTGGAGTGAGGGTCACTAGCACTGCCTTTTTGATATGACCCTGTCCTGCATGGCTCCACAGCAGTGACCTACCATGACCTCCACTCTATTGCACCTCTCTGCCAACACACACACACACACACACACACACACACACACACACACACACTCACTCTTGGGAGCCATTTAACTCACAAGCATCTGAGCAGTCCGCAGAGGACTTTTGCTTGGAAATCCCCCCTCCGCCCCCACATCCTCAGCCCTGAAGCCTGACGCCTGCCAACTCTTCCGCCCTCCTCCTCCTCCCTTTGGATGATCCAGCTGGGCCTGGGGTGGGGAGCAGCTTCCTGTCTGGAGGCTCTGGGTGGCCTGGACCCCACCTCTGAATTTCAAGTGATTTTAGCATTACCCCTTGTCCACTTCTAGCTGGGAGGGGGAGTGACAGGGGAGGGGGGCTGAGGACCTCAGAAGGGGTTCTGCTGGCCTGCTGCAGGGAACAAGGGAGAGGCCACCTGCCCAAGCCCTGCGGTCCCAGCTCCCCTTCCTGTGGACTCTCCCCACAGACCTGGGTGTGGCTGTCCTGGACTCCTGGAAGCCACATCTCGCAGCACCCGTGGCCTCTGGTCCTGCTGCCTGGGTTCTTTTCTCTCTCCTCTCCCTCTCCCTCTCCTCTTCTCTTCCTTCCTTCCTTTCCCTCCTTTCTCTCCTTTCCCTCCTTTCCTTCCTTCCTTTCCCTCCTTTCTCTCTCTCTCTCTTTCTTTCTTTCTTTTTTTTTTGAGACAGAGTCTCCCTTTGTTGCCCCGGCTAGAGTGAGTGCCGTGGCATCAGCCTAGCTCATAGCAACCTCAAACTCCTGGGCTCAAGCAATCCTGCTGCCTCAGCCTCTCGAGTAGCTGGGACTACAGGCATGAGCCACCATGCCCGGCTAATTTTTTTCTAAATATATTAGTTGGCCAATTAATTTCTTTCTATTTATAGTAGAGACAGGGTCTTGCTCTTGCTCAGGCTGGTTTAGAACTCCTGACCTTGAGCAATCCTCCCGCCTCGGCCTCCCAGAGTGCTAGGATTACAGGCATGAGCCACCTCGCCCGGCCTGCTGCCTGGGTTAATCAGGGTTTCTACAGTTTCTCCTGGTCTGCATCATAGCACAGACCTGGATGATTTCCTTTCCAGCCAATGAACATCTTCCCACTGCAGTGTTATCCCTTTTTCCTGCCACTTTTCCAAGTAATACCCTAAAAACATAGTCTGGAACTTGGTTGCTCCTGCAGGCACCCCCATTCTGTCCCACCTGCTCCCCACTCTCCTCACTTTAGAGGGGTGTTGTGTGTGAGGGAAGGTAAGAGAGGGCAGCGGATGGTGGTCCCCCCACAGACATCTGTGAGTGGCCAGTGGGTGGGAGCCCTGCGGACACTGCCAAAGGCCCAGGCCTTGGGGGCTCTCGGCCCCTCTCAGGGAGACCCGCTGCGCGTGTGTTTACAGCGACAGGCGGGTGAAGACCGCCCAGCACACAGCTGCTCGCATCAATTTGTAAAGTTAGTATGTCTTCCATCCGCATCCTCCTTTCTTTCTGGAGCCCTCGTTTAATAGAAAGCAAAGTTTTAATACCTGTTTTACACCTAATTTTCACAACGAAAGGGGTTGTCACATCAGAACAATGGCTTCCACGCTCACTGTGTTGACTTTAGGCCCGGCTCCCTCTCCACCTCCTCTGATCTTCAGTCTCCCATGGTCCGCCTCGCACCTTCAGCCCTCCTCTCTCCAAGAGCGCCTCTCCCCTGGTGTCCCTCCAGCTTGCTCCCCAGCCCATCCATTTCCTCTATCTGACATTCACATACTCTTCACATGAAATTCCTGAAATAATATTCCATACTACCAGCCTCTCTTCCTTCCATTTATTCCTTAACCAGGGCAACCATTTTTTCATGTAGAAACTCTACAGACTTTGACCTCAAAGGTTACTACCAACCAAAGGCCTATACCCAAAGATCCTTCGAGTCCTCATCTCTTTCATCTTTGTTTAGTACGTGGTGCGGGTCACAAGCCCTCTTTGCAATTTGCTCCCTCCCCTGTTTCCAGGAGACCCCAGGCTCCTCCTGGTTCTGTCCCCTCTTGGTCCTTTCTTCTGGTCTCACAGGCCCCTTGACGTTCTCTGCCACACTCTGTAACTTTATCAATGCCCATGGCTTCAATTATCAATTAAATGGTGAAGACTCCCAAATCTGTAGCATAGATTAAAGCTTTATCCTGAGCTCTGGACTTAACAGTATGCAGACACCTCCCCTTGGAAGTGCCTCAGACATCTCAACTTGATAGGTCTGAAGCCAAAGCTCCTGTCCCCCTGCCAGACTCCCTGTTGTCCAACCTACAAGTCACTCAAGTTCAGAACCTGGAAGGCAGCCTGACCTCGTTCTTCCATCTAACCAAAGGAGCACAGGCTTCAGGCCAGGAAGCTCTGACTTCAAGCATCAACTTGCCATTTACAAGCTCCGTGACCTTGGGCAAGTAGGTTCACTCCTCTAAATCTCATTTCCCCATCTGTAAAATGGGGGTAATATCAGTATCTACCGCATTGGGTTACTAGAACTGAATGAAATGTTGCACATAAAATGATTACCAAATTGCAAAGAGCAAGTGCATAATATATGTCAGCCTATTAGGCTATTTGTTAGGATGAATCATCCTAACAAACCTCTAAATAACTCTTGAAATTGTGTTCAGTTACCCTAGTCAGAAACTGGAAATCATTTTAGATTCTTCCAATTTTCTCCCTCAACTCTCTAAGGAAGAAGTCATCAATAATGGTCAATTTTACCTCTCGAGGCCTTAGTTCATGCCCTTACCACCCCTGTCCTGGACGAACATCACGGAGGCCCATCTGGAACCCTGCTGACTCCACTCTCACCGCTCTATCCCATGTGTTCACGCCTCTACCCCGGTGCTTCTCAAGTGTTCATGGATACCTGAGTCCCCTAAGACACAGGTCATGTTAAAGCAAAGGTCCAGAAGGGCCCAGGAGCATCAGAGGCTGAGAGGCTGCATTTCTAATAAGCTCCCAGGATGCCAAGGCTGCTGGCCCAGAGCCCCACTCTGATAGCAAAGCTCTGCTCTCTAGTTCTCTAGGAAACAGACCTAATCCTCTCAATCCCCTGCCTGAGATTCTTTGATGAACTTTACAATTTTGCTTACATTGCCCTTTTAGTCTTACTTCCTCTTGTTCTATCTCACACAACATATGCCCTGGCCACACACAAGCTTCGCAAAATGCCTCACGTGTCCATCACTTTGTCCCTTCGCTCAGGCTGCTTCCTCTGGGTGGATGCCTTTCCTTATCTTCCCTGACCCTTAGAATCCTATCACTTTTTCCAACACTCAGTTTAAGTGTCACCTTCTCTAGGAATGCTTCCTCAGTCTCCATGGCAAAATTCTCCATGCTTTCTGCTGTGTCCCCTGAGCTCTTTGTTTATACCACTTCAATAGAGTGCATCCCATTTCATTATAGTTAGCCGAACACACATCTGTTCCCTTAGATTCTAAGCTCATTGCCTTATCTGTTGTTGTGTCCCAAGTGTTTGACACTGAGTAGACACTCAGATACGAATGCAAGAGGAGGGAGGGGGTAGAGGGTGGACACAGAAACCTGAGGTCTACCTGAGCTCTTGATTAATATACACCACCCCCTGGTGGCAGCATGCTAAAATTGCTGGTTCATTGTTTTTTTGTTTGAAATGTCATATGTACTTTGAAAATGTGAACCAGTATTACAACCTTGGAAATCAAGACCCCAAAGGACCCTGCCAGTCATCACTGATGTTTTCTCAGTTCCTCTGTACCCCTCTCAGTACCTACATACACAGGTCAGTCATGTACATTTATTTCAAGCGAAATAATGAAGTGAAGGCAACCTACCCTCAGGTTTCTCTCCCACCACCGTGAGTTCAGACTCCTGGCTCGGCTCACTGGTTCCATACACGTTGATTGCACGCACACGGAATTTATACTCGTGGTCAGGCAGCAGGTCCTGCACGTTGAAAGAGGTGCTGCGGCACGTGGCCAGCTCCTTCCACGTCTTGTTGGCCGAGTCCCAGATCTCGATGCTGTAGGACTGCACGGCGCTGCCCCCGTCATATGAGGAGCCGTACCAGGACAGGGTCAGTGAGGAGCTCCGAATATCAGAGGCACAAGGTGTGCCAGCCGGGGGGTCTGGCTTATCTGGGGATAGAGAAGCACATCATTACCCCAACTCTCCAGAACTGCAGGGAAAGAACATTTTTGAGTTAGCTCTCTCTGGAGGGAGAAGCAGCCTAGAAAGCCCAAGCCAAGGTCCTTGGTCCTGGCTCTCTTTCCTCAACCACACCTCACACCTGGAGCTCTACACAAACACAGCTGTACAGAAAGCCCATGCATAACTATTTTCTCAGAAAAACCTTTTCGGGGGGCTGGTTTTCCAGTCTACAAGTCAGGATTTCCTGTACTTTTCCCATGTCATAAACATATTTCTCAGAGTAAACAGATCTGGGGAGCTGCCCAGAAGGTGTGGACTGATTCCTATCAAAAATATGTTTTGAGAGAGAGTTCAATGTGTGTGTGTGTGTGTGTGTGTGTGTGTGTGTGTGTGTCTGTCTGTCTGTCTGTCTGTCTATCTGTCCTTCAGGCCCTAGGCAAATGACCTGTGACATGACTAGGGGGTCTGTGTCCACTTTCTTTGGGACTTGGGAAAGGCCTGTCCACCGAGGGGCAGCATAGCACAGCTGTTGGGCTCCGAAGTCAGACTCAGGTTTGAACACAGATCTCTCCCCATTCAGTAGTTGTTAATCACTCTATGCCTCAGTTTCTTCATCTGTGAAATGTGATAATAATAGCAATTAGATTTTAAGATTGTTGTGAGAAATTCTTAGAAAGTGACTGGCTTGACTAGTCATTATTGTAGTAGTTTCTTTTTAATTTTATAATACATAAAAAAATTACTCCTACCCTACCTCTTTTATTCTCATAGGACTGGTATAAATTGAGATGAAGAATTTTCACAATGAATCTCAATTTCAGCTGCTTAAAAAAATAATTTCACAAACAAACCACAATAGCTAATCACAGCCATCCTGGCTAAGGGACAGAAACTGAGCTAAGGACGGAAATAAGTGGCTCTTTTGGCTGGTTGCCTTCCCATTCAGATGACCTGGGCTTGGAACCAGTCGTGCTGCCAACTTTAAGTCAGATCACGATAGCCCATTCTTTAATGAGGTTCTTGAATTTTGCTGATTTTTAAATTGCTTATCTGAACGAAACTCTTCTATTTTTTAGATTTAGTTTCTGCAGATGGTTGGTTAGTCACAGATATCTGTATTTAGTAGCCTTTAATCTCCCCCAGTGCAGCTTAAGTTCATGGAGCTGCACAAACTTGCAATTAAAACCATGCTTTCGCCGGGCACAGTGGCTCAAACCTGTAATCCTAGCACTCTGGGAGGCTGAGGCAGGAGGATAGCTTGAACTCAGGAGTTCCAGACCAGCCTGAGCAAGGGCGAGACTCCATCTCTACAAAAAGTTAGCTAGGCCTGGTGCACGTGCCTTGTAGTCCCAGTTACTCAGGAGGCTGAGGCAGGAGGATTGCTAGAGCCCAGAAATTTGAGGTTGTAGTGAGCTATAATGGCACTGCTATACTCTAGCCAGGGTGACAGAGTAAGACTCTGTCTTAAAAAATAAAACAAAACAAAAAGCAACTATGCTTTTAAGCTATGTGAAGTCTAGTCAGTGAATCTGAAACCAGTTTATTTGCTTGTCGTTCTCATTTGGAAAATGGGGCTAACATGTACCTACCTCTTAGAGTGTTTGCCAGTGCCGAGTAAGGAAACACTGACAGGGAAAGTACTTGACTCCTACTATCCCACCCTCACCAGGGCAGGAAGGCCAAAGAGAATTCCTGCAAATGACCCTGTGTATCTGGGGAAGAAAAAAAATCTGAACGTGTGTATGCATGTACATACCCACATGCATATCCATTTTCATACACACATGCATACACATGCATGTTCAGTCTCACTGCCTCCCCCACCCCGCCCTGCTGCGTCCACATTCCAGCCCAGGACACGCTGCCCAGAAGCTGTCTATCCCCAACAGCCCAGGCCCAGACCTGGCCGCAGGAACGACGCTGGGATCGTGACGGAGCCACTTCCCAGCGTCAGCAGTCACGCCGAGGCCTCCTGTGATGGAACCACTTTCACTGCTTGTTTAATATGTTCTCTTAGAAAAACTGTTTGTTCTGAAAGATATATTAGTCTTTTTAGAAACATTTCTGGTGCTGGCTAAGATGTTTATTACTGTAAACTCTCTTAGAGACAAGTGGTTCAAGTCCTCTCAAGACCCAGCTAGGGAAGGAAAAAAGCCTAAAGAGGATTCGGGGCAGACTCACTGCTCCCCACCCCAGAAGCTGCTTGGAAACGTGTGACGATGGGACACGTGCGAGTCACGTGGGCTCAGAGAACGAAGGCAGATGTGTTCTGCTGACTGCTCTTCGCGCCTCTGCTGTGGTCAAGAAAACTGAGACATGGGAACTGCAGAAGAGTTACCATTTGTACCCTACCCTGTCACAGATGTCTCTTGGCCGAAAAAGAGAACTGACATATGTCAGTGATGTCTAAGTCCTGTGGCACAAGAGAAGATGCAAAATTTGGGGAGGGGGACTTTAATTTTAGGTGAAACTTTCAAGGAATTTGATACCAACTTCAGGGTTTCAGAAAACACCCAAGGCTGTAGTCTTGTGAGAGAGTGGAAGTCCTTCCCCCGACACCTGCCCTTAGAGCCACGGCTGCACCTAACGCTTTCTGTTCTTTCCCACCTACAGAGCCACATACCAGGGCTGAGCTGGCGAGGGATGAAAACTCTCAGAACAGGGCACCCCCATGGGCCTCTCCTCCGGGCCAAAGACGCAGACACACTCAGACTGGGAGGGAAACCCTGGGCATCATCTGGCAGAGAGAGGCTGGCTCTGCGTTGAGGGCCCAGAGCGCCACAGTTCCTCGGAACTCTCCCAGGGCTCCCTGGAGGCTTGAGTAACAGAACGGGAAACTCAGCCGAGCCTAAGAGAAGGGTCCCCAATGGAGCCGGTTCCCAGATTTTCTGCTCAGCAAATGTTCTCCTTCCTGGGAAAACAGAGGCTCTCATCCTGTAGCTTACCACCAGGGTCGCCTCCCTCTTGGTGTCTGTGCTTGCATGCCTGAAGATGGCCATGGCTGTGTCCAGCCCTGCCTGTATGTCCCCTCAATGGGGCTTCAGCAGCTGCTGGGAGGGCCCAAAGTGGTCATCTGCCTGCATCGTCCTTGCCCCCAGGAAACGGGCCCTTGGTGGCTAGGGCACTTTGTTTACCAAGAAAACCCAGCTAGTCTGTGGCAGAGCCAAAAGGAGATTCTGAAAGTCTGTAGACCCCCCACACCCCCTCCTGCCAAGCCCGCAGGGTCTGGTACCTTCCAGCCTCTCAGGCTGAATGAGACCAAGGGCTCACCCTGCTTAAGCCTGAGCTAAGCATTACGAAGGGAAATCTCCCACCCTTAAAAATCATGAAAGTTCCAAACTCAGCATTTAAAGATTATTGGGCATTTGGGGTTCTCTCTACTTTGTTTTTCTCCTCTAAAGATATGCAGAGAGACCTGTTTTTCCCATGCTGGGTGAGTGACACTCAGGAATCCATCTGGGTCACACTGCTCTCTCACGCTGTGCTCCAGAGCAGCCCTCCCTCCCCTCAGGCCACAGCCTGGGGGCACAGGAAGAGGCTAGGAGCATGGCAAATTCCTGGGCTGCCTTTTAAAATATAATAATAATGTCTCTAAAACAGAGAAACATCACTCATTTAAATTAACTGAGGGAAAGGCTGGTTTTATTATCATTTTAAAAATAGGAGTCACAGACTATCTGAAAAGAAAATAGTCCTTTAAAGATTATACAGTAAGATGCCTGTGCAGTGGCTGACTCTTATAACCCTAGCACTCTGGGAGGCTGAGGTGGGAGGATCACTTGAACTCAGGAGTTCCAGACCAGCCTAGCAAGAGTGAGACCCCGTTTCTACCAAAAATAGAAAAAACTAGCCGGGCATGGTGGCACATACCATAGTCCCAGCTACTTGGGAGGCTGAGGCAGGAGGATTGCCTGAGCCCAGGAGTTTGAGGTTGTGGTAAGCTGTGATGATGCCACTATACCCTATCTGGGGTGACAGAGTGAGACTCTGTCTCAAGAAAAAAACAGTTATATGATAAGAGAAGTTTACTGCTAACAAGTAGAAGTTGTGTTACACTGCCCTTATTTAACTGGCCTGTAAATGGATGCATCTAAAGTGTGTGAAAACTGTCCAGTGTAGGCCAAATGATTCCTGTTTTATCTCATTTATGTTTTACATCTACTTAATAAACCCTGATCAGATAATACGCAGATGTCTCTGGAGACGCACAGGTAAATCTGAGCTTAATCCAAGTTTACCTTAGACTAATGCTGCATTCACGGGCTCTGAATGAATGCGGCTTTGCTTAGCCATCAATGCGGTCCTCGTTTTATTGAGCAATTCTATTCTTAGCTCTGCGAGGGGGAGGCAGACAGAAAGCCCTGTCCTCCTCCATTCCATTCCCCTCCCAGGACGGCATTTAACATGTTGCTCCTGCCAGCTGGCGGGCAGCCACACCAATGGCCCTGTCAGCACTGGCCGTGGAGAATGAGAAACTAAACCATAAAAGGCCAGAACTGCAGCCCGTGCAGTGGTGACGGGGGTGGAGAGTGTATGGCACCGTGCAGGAGCTGGCCACGGTGGGGGCAGGGGGCACTGGTTACAGGAAAGCAGTTCAAAGGAGCTGACCCCAAAGTCACAGGCAGGGGCAGATGAGAGGGAACGCCGAGGAAAAGCAGAACCTGAGGCTTGCCAGCAGGACAGGACTGCAGGCTTAAACCAGTATGGGGTGGGGTCTAAGTGCACGGGCAGGCTGGACCACTAGCGCCAGCCCTGCAGCCCCTGCCTGCTTGGGGGAAACTGCTGACACAGCCCCTGGGGTCACCAGGGAGAGGTGGAGGGATAGAGAGAGAGAAAGAGAGAAGAGTTCCCTTTCTCCTTCACAGATAGAAACCCCATTCCCTATTATTACATGGGCCTTCCCAAATCTAAAGCTCGGGGAAGGGGACAGAGTGACAGGCATTGAGACATAGATGAAACAGCAGGGGGTGAAGAAGCAAGGCCAGGGAGAGGAGCCCAGCAAGAGAGGAGGCAAATAGAAACATAGACAACAGGGGATGGGAAGTGGTGCTGAAGCTTGGTCCTCTGGGGATTCCCTCTCCCAGGTCCCCTGTGTCCAGTGACAGTCCTCCAGGGGTTCTTCAGCACTTCTGTCCAGGGAGTCAGGCTGGAGCCTGGAACCCAGGGTCTGTTCTGGTAGCTGGCCTGGGCACAGTTCCCTGGCTACCTCTCCTGTCTGCCCACCTGTGCTTAGCTTTGTCCTTTGTCCTCGCCTCTTCCCGATTCACCTGGTTGGACAAGCACGTCCTCTTCTGTAACTGCTTAGGGCTGGAGTGAGATGCTACAGGGCTTCCCAGGGCTCAAGGTGAGAAAATAGGGGGATGGACATCCACAACTCCATGGCATGTGGGCAGTTCCCTCAAAGGCCCACGTGTCTCCCTAAAGATGAATTTTCCAGCCAGAAGTTTCCTTTACCTTTTGGGACCTTCTGCACCCACGTCACACTGCCATGAGTGGCATCTGGAGGACAGGCGTTTTAGAGCTCCCAAGAGCTACTTCCCACTTGGCCCTGATACACTGTGTTCCTTGGCTCATGCGGGTCCTTGGTTTCCCCTTTGTAAGGCGGGAAGCATCAATCTGCCCTGTCCATCCTAGTCCTAACAGAGGATACCACATGAAGACGGGGAGGAAAACTGCTTGGGAACAGAGTCAGGGAATCACAGGATGTCAGAGAACAGAGTCAGAATCACAAGACGTCAGAGCTACAAGAGGCATTCAGAGTCACCTCCAACTTCCAACTTCATGCCTAGATACCTCCACAAGAAATTCCAGAGGAAGACTGCTGACCACCGTGGCCACATGAGCCCTGTTACCAACAGATCCTTTTGTTCCATGTGCTCACATGTGTGTGCACCAGGAACACACACAGGACAGTCTAGCAAGCAAGGAGTCGAGGTCAGGACCAGCACGCACAGGTGGGAGTTTTGTGCACTGCACATGGGAACCGAGCAGGGGGCTTCTGGGCCAACCTCTGCTCCCCAAGCCCAGGTGGTAAGCCTGGGGGTGAGGCTGGGGTGCAGCCTTTCACTCTGCCCAACAGGTTCCCTTTTTCTAATTTTCACAAAGGTACCTTATATGCTTGAAAGCCAAGGAAAGAGGGAAACCCACTTGGGTCTCGTGCACGTGCCGGCAAACACCAGGTCAGAAGCTTTCATGGGCACAACATGCGACTTCCCGCAAATGCACGAGACACGGTCTGCTCTCCAGCTGTCTACTCCTTTGCCTGTTTGTTCCTCTGCTGTCCAAGCACCTGCCACATGGAGGGGGGGGACTGAAGCCAAGCATGACCCACAGCAGGAGACCGTTAGAAAGCTGTTTGATGTTCCAGGAGAGAGCTGACCGGGGCATGAAAACAGTGACTGGGAAAGAGACGAGGAAGTGCACTTGCGCATCGGTGTGGAGACAGACTCGACTCAGTCTTGGGATGTAGGTGACAGGAAAGGGGAGTGCAGTCAGGATCAGGGGGTCACGGTGACCTCAGAAGAGTGGTCCCAGCAGACTAATGGGGAGTGGGATCACAGGGAGCGGAGGGTGCCAGGGGGTGAAGAAGCACGGTCAGGGTGGAGACACGCCTCCGTCACAGGTGTGGTCACAGGGTGGCTAGAGTGAGAGAAAGCATCACAGAAGTCACACACGCCTGTGCATTTGGCTAAGGTGGCGACACTTACAGGCTACTGAGGTTGAGAAGAAGAGAGAAGTGAGCAGCTTCAGGAGGGACAAAAGTGGGCCATCCCCAGAGCCTGGAGGATGGACATGGGGACAGATATGGACACCTGTAGGTGTGGGGGCCAGGAAGCTGACCAGGCTCATGCCTGATGTTGTGCATTTCTCAGAGGCTAGAGGCCAAGGCCTGCAGGGCGGGGGACTGGAGGAACCACTACATAGACAGTGGGGGAAGGCACTGGCCAGAGACAAGGAGGAGGGTTTCTGACCAGCACGGACCCTTCAGCTGGGCCTGGGGGTCAGCAGAGTTGGGTGGTGACTGCGGGTGATGTGATCTTCTCTCTGCAGTGCCACGAGGCCCTGAGATTCACGCATCCTGCCTTGCAGCCTTCCCCACGCCCACCCCCAGACGACTCACCCACCACGGTGAGGTTGACCTGGGCCTGCCTGCTGCCCAGCTTGTTCTCCACCAGCAGCGTGTAGCAGCCGCAGTGCTCCTGGCGCGCAGCCAGGATGGTGAGCTTGCTGCCATTCTCGTTGTTCTCCACCTTGATGAGGTCGCTCTCCTGGATCTGGGGGTGGGGGTGCAGCAGGAGCTGAAGGCTGGGGCCAGGAAAGGAGGGCTCCTCCCCCACTCCCTGCAGCTGGAAAGCTTTGGGGGCTTTGTCTGGTCTGGACTCTGCGCTTCCCCCAGGGCCCCCTCCTGCACCCGGAGCCAGGCCTCTCTGAGGGTGCTCCAGCCTGGGCGGGCAGGGAGGGCGCTGAGCAGGGGCAGGGCGCATGAACTACCTCGGCACCTGCTGCTCCCAGCACACAGCTCGGGTGCATCCCAGCCTCCCTCCACTGCTCTGGGACGGGATGGCAGAACACGTCTGAGCAGCGTCATCCACAAAGCCTACCCCAGCGGGGTCGGACCTCTCCGTGCTGTCCAGTGCAGCTGCACTAGCTATACTGGCCATTTAATTAGTTCAGTGGAAACAACCCAAGTGTCCATCAACTGATGAACAGATAAACAAAATGTGGTCTTTCCAGACAATGGAATATTGTTTATCCATAAAAAGGGACGAAGTACTGATTTATGCTATAACATGGATGAGCCCTGAAAACATGATGCCAAGTAAAAAGAAAAAGCTTACGCAAAAGATGAAATATTATATGATTCAATTTATACAGAATGTCTAGAATAGGCAAATCTATAGAGACACAAAGTCGGTAAGTGGTTGTCAGGGGCTGGGGCAGGGGGAGGAATGACTGCTAATGGGGCTGGGGTTTGTTACTGGGCCGATGAAAATATCCTAGAATTAGATAATGGTGATGCTTACACAACCTTGTGAATAGTCTAAAAACCATTGAATTGTACACTTTGAAAGGGGGAATTTATGGTGTATAAATTATATCTCAACAAAGCTGTTGTAACAATTTTAATTAATGAAAATTAAAAATTCAGTTCCTCAGTTACACTAACCACATTCTGAGTGATCAATAGGCACATATGGCTCGTGGCTGCCACACTGGGTAGCACAGATATAGAACATTTCCCTCACTGCAGAAAGTTCTGATGGGGAGAGCTGGAACTTGGCTAAATGTCCCTGAAAAGTAGTGAGATTCCATCTTATTTCAGATGACAGTAGCCCAAACACAGCTCAGGGCAAAAGTGATTTGGGATGCTAAAGGCTAGCTGCTCATCTCCGTCTTTGGAGACCAACTCCACTTCCCTCCCTGGTAGTACTAGCTGCTCACCTCTGGGCCTAGGACAATTCGTGTGCTTTGGAAACAGCACCAGAGGGCTCAGAATAAATCTTCACCCCTTATGGAGTTCCTGAACCTGTGCCAGCCCACCAGCCCAGGTCTCTGCTGACCCTGCATGCAGCCATAAGCCACCAACATGACATCGGTGGAACAGCCAGGCTTCCCAAGTTCCCTCCTAAGCTAGTTGTTTGGAAATTCAAAATTTTTTTCCTTAGGAACCATTTTTATAATTTGTAGCTATATTTCTGGGTCAGTAAGCCAAAATTCTATTTACTGTACAATTTATGTGTCCAAATATTCAGATTCACTTTTCTCCCTTCAGCACGTGGTAAGTTTAAGCTGGTATCAGATAGGAGTCAGTGGGCTGGCACAGAGTCACAGAAAGCTCAGGGAATCCGGGAGGTCTTCTTAGGTCACTGGTTCGATTTTCCTGACTCTGAGTAGGATCCTAGACTGCAATAACAAAATCAGGCGGGGGCCATGGATAGCTTCTATTTTTTCCTTCACACTTTACTACACAAATTGTAGCAGCTACGGCTTATTGGTAGATTCAGAAGAAAAGGTTAGTGAGGACTCAGGCTTGGTGGGTGGGTGATGGGTGGGTGAGGTTGTCTCCCATCTCCAAAGTGATGAAGAACGAGGCCATTCCATTATAGTACCCGCTCACCCCTTTCGGCCCAGGGGTTGTGGGGTGTTCTCGGGCCACCCCGTTCCGTCACTGACCTGCTTTCGGAACTTCATCCAGGTACAGGTGATGGGCTGGGTGCCTGTCACTTTACCAAACAGCTCCACTGACTCTCCCGCGCGCACCTTTTGGTCCTCGGGGAACTGGATGATCTGAGGGGGCATTGCTGAGGGGACAGGGCAGAACGTGAGCAAGGAGGGGCCTCCAACATTCTGGCCTCACCAGGCACTACTGTCCACAGTGGTCTGTTGGCTCCTGTCTCAGCTTCCAGACCCCTCGGGGGACAACTGAGGGCACTGACCCCGCTCCAAATCGTGTGAGTTCACGGACCAGTAGGTTTGTTCATCTCTGTATTCTGATTCCCCCAGAAGTGACCCACACCTTTTACATGGCAGCATTGTTTCTTTATTAGTTGTGCTGGAATTTGAGTCTTACCCTGATTTTTTGAGTTGATGTCCTAACTCACTTATTCATTAAGCAGCACCTTGCTCCTATCCTCCAGGTCACCCTGGCTGACAAGCTCGATGGCACATCCTCGAGTGTCTTTCAACAGGAAACAGACAAGGGCTCTGTATAATAAGGACGCACAGAGCACAGGGACGGCACCGCATGGCCGTCTCCACAAGGGGCAGCGTGGAAGACGGTGGGGGGCAGAGCTGCACAAAAGGGGAGGGAAGCTGCAGTCCTGTGGGACGCCATCCACACAGGGAGGCAGAGGAAAAGACAGAGCAGTGGAGGGGGTGGGGGGCCGGGCTGTGCAGAACTGACACACAGAACAAATTCGCTTGAATAATGCAGAGCCTGAATTGGGGTTGGGGGGTGTCTCCTGGGGTCACATACCCAGGTGGTCAGTCTAGCAGGTTAAAGAAAAAACCCCTATGACAGCTGACTCCTTTGTCCCCAAATATCGCTATAGCCAATTACCTGCCTTCGGAGGAGTCTTGGGGGCCGGTTTCTTTTTCACAGTTGCATCACCTGAAACCAAGAAGTTTACAAGTTATTTTCTGCAGTTTTTTTCACAAAGCTCCTGATCCCAGGAGGATGCGGTCTTGCCCAGTGGGCCCTGGTCCAGGGAGAGCCTTTGTTTGAATATGTCTTTCCAGAGATCTTCTTGCCCTCTCACGAAGACAACCTCACAATCGAATGAATGTCAGTTATCCATGACCTCTGGAGGGGTCTCCAGAGTCTCCAACAAGATAAAAACTGTCAAAAATGTTTAAGCTCCCATAGTCCTATTCAAAGATGATAACCCCAAACTCACTAACTACTCTCTCACTCTAGCTTTCAGGAAATTTAGAAAGGAAATTATGTCAGATAGACCAACTAAAATTAGCCTTTGGTGTGGATCCAAGGGTCTCAGGCTTCCTTTGGGTCACAGACTACAGCCTGGTGGCTTTCATGTTTTTAAATGTTTGTTGAATGGATGAACGAATGAATGAATGAATGCTCTCCTCCCTTCCTACCCCCACTTCCTCCAGATAACTCAAATAAGAAAAATGACTCAAACAGAAAAGTTTGCAGCGCAACCCTATTCATCTGGCTAAGTAACGATACGGTGCACAGGCAAAGGCATCCTCACTGGCTGGCCCTCACATTCCTTTCAGGCCTTTGCTCAAAAGTCATCTAACTTACTTATCCAAGTGAAAGAGAAACCTATGAGCACACAAGCACCTATATGCAAATGTTTATAGTGGCTTTATTTATAATCGTCCAAAACGAGAAGATGTCCAAATGTCACTCCACTGGCAAATGGAGGAACTATGGTCCACCAGCACCATCAGTAAAAAGGAACAAGCTGGAGCAAGGGCAAGATTCCGTCTCCAACAAAAAACAGAAAACTTAACCAGGTGTGGTCGCATGCACCTATAGTCCCAGTTACATGGGAGGCTGAGGCAGGAGGATACAATCTCTAAGCCCAGGACTTAGAGATTGTTATCAACTATAATGATGCCTTTTGAGACCTTGTCTCAAAAAAATAAATAAATAAAAATGAATGAATGAACAACACTGCTGATATGCACAATGTAGATTAATCGCAATGATTTCTCTTTCTTTTCTGCTCAGAGAAGCCAGACTCAAAGGCTACTTATATGACATTCTAGAAGAGGCAGAACTATAGAGATGGAGAACAGATTAATGGTTGCTGGAGGTGGGGTGGGGAGCAGCTGACTACAGAGGGGCACAGGGAAGCACTTCAAGGTTATGAGACTGTATCTTGACTATGGTTGAGTTGCATGATTATATGAGTTTGCCCCGACTCACAGAACTGCATTCTAAAGAGGGTGAAGTTTACTGCAGGGAAGTTATACCTGATACAAAACATGGGGAAGAGCCACTTCACCAATGAGATCATCCCTAAGCACCCTACACAATAGCAGCCCTAGCACTCCCTATCATCCCTAACCCTGCATGATTATGCCCCTGTGGCACTGGTTGCCATATGACAAACTATGTATTTGTTTCTCTAATTTCTGCCCTTCTTCTTCTCCCAGACTATAAGCTTTGTGAGCACAGGGCATTTTTTTTTTTTTTTTTTTGGTTCACTGCTGCATAGCCAATGTGCCTGGCACATAGTAGGGACTCAGTAACCATGTGCTGAATGAGTGAGTGGGTTGACAGTAACAATTATTCATCCACACAGCTTCACATTGCAGATTCCAGAGAAGTGGGCCATGTCCCGGTTTGGATGAGGAGCTGCTCTGTGAACACAGGGGAGTTAGCTGACTTACTGCATTACCACCCTTCTACACTGAAAAGAGCCCTGTTACCCAGCTGAATACCCTCGGGGGACTGCTGGAAGGAGGTGAGCCCTGACAGGAGCACTCTGCAATCACAGAGCTGATGGCTACCAGCGGTGCAATCAATTAAGCCCCGGGGGAGGCCTGCTTCCATCAAGCTCACCCTGGCCTGCTGCCTTATGGATCCATCCATCCATCTCCAACGGTTTACTGAGGGCCTGTTGTGTGCCAGGCAAATGCCGATCAGTACACAGTACTAACCAGGGTACTGAGGAGAAAACCAAACAAATGTGAGAAATCAGGGCTCAAGGCCTTAAAGGTCAGCATCTGTGGTCCACAGGAAAGGCTTTTTTTCTTTGGCCATCAAGGACATTTATCAGACAATCGGCAACATTTGAATGAGGCCAATAAATTAGATGACAGTATTGCATCAGTGTTAATTTTCTGTTTTGATAATCAGACTGTGGCTTTATAAGAGACTGTCCTTGCTTGAAGGAAATACACACTGAAGTATTTAGGGATAGAGGGTACGTGCATGCAACTTGCTTCCAAACTGCTCATAAAACGTATGATATGTGTCTATATGTGTATGTGTGTGTGTGGAAAGGAAAGGGGGCTGGAAAAACAGAGGGAGAGGGAGAATATATGGAAAGCAAATGTAGTAAGATGTTAACATTTGCAGAATCTGGGTGAAGGATATACAAGAATTATTTACGCTATTTTTGTAATTTTTCTCTAAGTCTGAAATTATTTCAAAATAAAAGTTAAACCGAAAGTTAAAAAAAGTGTTATCCAGTCAACATGATGTGGCTGTTCAAATGTGGGAGGAGGGGAGGACACTGAGGGCTGAGGAGGTGGTCAGAGGCTGAGAGGTGGGCACAGGGAGACCCCAGAGTGAAGGAAGATCTGGAATGCAGAAGGGAGAGGAGCCTGTGGTCAGGGACGGACGGCAGCTCGGAGTTCAGAGTCAGGGGGATGTGTGGTGGAGGCTGGGCAGAGCACAGGGCTGACACTGGAGTACAGTGGCATGAAGACAGAGTGCAAGTCAAACGGAAGAAAATTGAAAATTCACTTCCTCAGTCACACTAGTCACATTTCAAGTTCTCAACAGCTGTCCTTGGTTAGCGGCTATCACACTGTGCAGACTCAGGTCATTTCCATCATCACAGAAGTTCTACTGAACAGTGCTGGGCTTGAATGCAGAGCTTGAGAGCTAGGCCTCTGTCCTGCATGAGTGGGGCGTCCCACACAAGCAGCATCAGACTGGGCTCGAGGTCCCCTACAGCTCTCTCTAACAGTCAGGGACAGACATCTACGTAGGAGGCTGTTGCCACACCTCGCAAGGCCCTGATCAAGATCCAGGCAAAACAGATGATACAAGTGAGAGACAGAGGAAAAACTAAAAGAGTTTAGGGGGCTAAACAAGGGGGTGGTACAGAGATTACCTTTGAATTTCTTGCTTAGCTACATGGGGAAAATCATATTGAAGGAATATGAAATTTAGGAGTGAAAGATGAGTAGTTTGATTTTGTCAAGTGAATTTGGTAGATGAAAAATTTGAATCTGTTTGTAGGCTAGAAGCTCAGGATCAGAACTGTGAAGAGAGGTTGGTGGAGACAAGAAGTGAAAGATTCCAGACGAAACATGCAGCTACGATGGAACGTGTGAGGACAGGTCAGTCCTCTGAGGAAAGAGAATGCAGTGACAGATGGCAAAGGGCAGGGTCTGACCCCAGGCAGTGCCTGCAGGGAGAAGCTGGGATGAAGGAGAGGGTTGGGGAAGGACCCCAGACTAGGAGGAATGTCCCTGCAGCAAAGATAGAGGGGGGCAGACTCTGGGAAGGGCTCCAGGTGACCAGCAAGGAGTGACAGTGACACTGAAAAGGCCAAGCGCCGTGGACTGTGTGGTCCAAAGTCACTCCAGAGGAGCCTCTCAAGCTAGTTGGTCAGAAGTCCCCGGTGAAGGGCAAAGACAGGAGAGGTAATGTCAAGCTAAGGTTTCTTCTGAGATGAGAGAGAAGAGAGAAGACAGGTGAAGAGTCTAGGAGTCAGGGAAGGGGTGAGCCCAGAGATCCTGGGGGAGAGCACAGGAAGCCGAGTCCCTGTTGGGGGGGCACCTGTGCCTGACTGAGCCACAAAAGACCTGCGCCCCTTCTTCCAGGACTGCTGGGGAAAAGAAAGGGCTTCTGCCCGAGCCGGGGCCCGCTCACCTCTGGAGAGAGAAGCCATTTGTTCAGAGGAGCTTTGTGGACAGCGGGTGTTAAGGGCTGAACTGTGTCCCCACAAATTCACATATTGAAGCCCTAACCCCCAGGACCTCAGAATGTGATTGTATTTGGAAATAAGGCATTAAAAGATGAGATTAAGTTAAAATGAGGCCATTAGGGTAGGTCCTAATCCAATCTGACCAGTGTCCTTACAGAAGAGATTAGGGGAGAGACAGAGACAGGCAGAGACCAGACATACACACACCCCGAAGGAAGACTAAACGAAGACACTGGGAAAAGATGGCCATTTACAAGCCAAGAGAGAGGCCTCAGAATCCTTGCTCTTGACCTTCTAACTTCCAGAACTATTAGAAAATAAATTTCTGTTGCTTAAGCCACCCAGTCTGTGGCACTTTGTATGGAAGCCCTAGCAATCTAGCATAGCTGTGGGTGGGACCTGTGGGGTGGTGGCAGGTGAGGAGGAAAGGTGGGGACAGTCCCTGGGGGGGGTGAACCAGGGTTAATAAGGAGAGGGCAGTGGCACAGCATGAAATCAGGGGACTCCAAAGTCTTGCCCTGTGCTTGGAGCTCTGGGCAAACCTGTAGAAGTAGAGCCCTAACTAGTATCTATCTTTCAGTGTTACAGTTAAATGGGATTGAAGGCCACATTTTTGTTTGTTCTATAAATTTGGAGCTACCACTGTTTGAATTGGTTAGCATTTAAAGCTGGTCTGGTTCCTGCCAGTAAAAACAACTTTAAATGTTAACAATGTTCTGTATCCTATTCTATACATATTTTATAGGACCATCTGCTGAAATCCATTAACTGTGTTTTGGACTTACACGGGAAAGCAGAGTCACCTGTTTCTGAAACTAGGTTTCTAAGAGGGAGTTTCTCACTTATCCCAACCAAACACTAGCAGGGCACCTCATGGTGTTTCTATTTTATGAAAAATGAGATGGAGTCTCATAAAACTCAGGTCACTTGCTGGGTTCACAAAACCAGATGTGGTTGAGCTGGAAATAGGACC